AAGCGCACGGATTTTGTTTTGCATTAATTTATCCAGGCAGTATAAGATTCAAGGCCATTTTCTTTTTCTCTGCATGATGTACACACACACACACACACACACATACACGCACGCACGCACGCGCGCACGCATGCACGCTCGCACGCACGCACACACACACACACACACACACACACACACATATATATTGTTAAATGTTATCACGTGCACGATACAACAAAAGATTACCCCCTGTGCATGGAGTCCATTTCCCACAATCTAAATATTCATGACGAAAGTTCACGGCTGACTCGCTATGGGATGTAGATGGGGTTTTTTTTTATCATCTAGAGTACAGTTGTCCTTTTAAGGCAGTTTTTTTGTCCATTTTTACTTTCTCTTATACGAAGTGTAGAGGAAGTATTGTAATCGTGAAAGAGGATTGAGGAGTTGGGAATTGAAAAAAAAATTATATAAAAAAATGTAAACTGTGAAGGCACTAAGTATGTGGAGGCTTGTGGGATCCCATTCTAATTATGGGACCCTAGGCTGCTGTATGGATACTTGTGGAACCTTAAGCTATAGTGTGGATATTTGTAGGACCCTATTCTTGTGCAGTGTTTCTTCTAGGCGTTTTTCTTCGGGGAGGAGGGGAGGTGGGGGCACTTAAAATATTTGGGGGGGGGGGGGCGGACTAAAATTTCCGGAGGGGGGGAGGCGGACACTGCTAAAAGTATATATTTTCTATATAAATTCCATTTCGTTCGGGGGCGGGGGGGGGGGATGGAGGGGGCTGGAGACTTTCTTTGGGGGAGGGGGGGGGGCTTCGCTCTTCTGTGTGTGGATACTTTTGGGACCCTCTCTGCTTGTGGAACCTTATTCTGCTGTGTGGAAACGTTAGGCTTTATACAGACTGCTCTGTGGATACTTGTAGGACCCTATGCAACTCTGGAAACTAGTGGATACTTGTAGGACCCTATGCAGCTCTGGATACTAGTGGATACTTGTAGGACCCTATGCAGCTCTGGATACTAGTGGATACTTGTAGGACCCTATGCAGCTCTGGATACTAGTGGATACTTTGATACGGTTACCTCGTCAAACATCGATGTTATTAGTTTTATTTTTTTTTCTTCCTTGCTGTTGTATTTTTACATCTGGTGAGGAGGGATGAGGGGGGATGAATTGGGAGGTAGGAAGTGGGAGGTAATGTAAAATGTCCATACTTCAGACCCTTTGATTTTTTATATTACCAGCACTTTCCCTATATTTTTTAAAAAAAAACGTTTCTGAAGTTTTAACGATTTTTAACTGAAATATTGATTCGAAATATTCAACCTAAATAATAATGACTAATTTTTTTGTTAAATATATTTTTTAAAAATTGACAAAGTCTACAAAAATGTGAAGGCAAGTTTTATTTTGTAAAGTCGAGCATTGATTTTTAATCAATTCTTTTTTTAGCATCCTATCGATTTTAAAACATGGCATCCTTGTTTTTTTCCCCCTTTTTTGTTTGTTTTAAACCAAACAATGCTAGCAGATATTTAAAACAAAAATACAATACACATTTTTTTTTAAATCGATTCCCAGTAACCAAACAATACACCCTTTATTATAGCTTCTTCATACAACCCCACTCCCCTAACCATAACCCCCACCACTCCTCCCCCGCACAATACAATCTTGATCCTAACCAAAAATGGTCGTCAGTCTAACACAATTACAGCGTGTTCGTGTGTAGGGGGCGTCACTAAATCAGGCCACGGTTATTAGTTTACAAAATCTCATTGTCTCCCTTTACTGAGCATTATAGGGGAGACAATACGGTGTGTCGCTCAAGGGAGGTAACTTAATTATATTCATGTTACTCAATACCGAAAGAATTATAAATTTTACCTCAAACATTGAAGTTAGAAATCTTGAGGAAGGGAGAAGTTTTATATTTAAAGTTACCCTGAATTATTTAATGGGCTTAAGACATACTTTCATTTTTTTTCTCTGACGCACCGTTAATCTTTTTGAGTCGATATCTTTATTCGGCCATCTTAATTTTTAAAATTTTCAAAAAACTCTCGTCTTCCGCCCCCCCCCCCCTCCCCCGCCCTAACCAAATTGGACCTTAAACGCTAACCTCACTCGATAAAACCACCCATGTTATGGAGTGGCCTAGCGGTAGAGCGCTAACCGAAATTCTCGAGTTCAAATCCAAGTGCATGTCATTACATCGTCCCTAGGTCCGCCTAGCTCTGATGTGTATCTAACTCACGTTAAGAAAAGTAAGCAGGCCTTTACTCACTATACTATATGTATGTGCGTATATATGTATATGTATATTCAGTTGTTTGACATAGCCAAATCCCATATATCTTGACACGTATACATAATGTAATTACGTCAGCTTGTTTAACAATGGGTGTTTTAATAAAATTGGAAGTGTGGGTTTTGGAGCAACCAAACTTGTCTCCGTGTTTAAATATTACAATAGCCAGCCTTAGCTACGTAAGCTTCTTACCTCCTCTTTATATAATCCTTTAACAATGAAAGAGCAAAAAATGAAATATATGGCAACATTATCTGGCGATAATAAAAAAAAATTTCACCGAGGCGTAGAGTGTGAGTAAACAGCCTACATGATTGAGTTCATATATTTCAGATGGTTATGATTTTGAGATATCTCTGGAGTAGAAATGGCGAAATATTTTTGTTGTATGTGTTTTTTGTTTTTTTTTTGTTTTTTTTTTTCCACCGGCAAACTAGCCGCTGTCGTTTAGACAACGTTACCCCCGTCCCCCCCCCCCGTCCCCTCCTTCTCCATCCTCCCCCATCTGTAACGTCTCCGCCATTATTTTCCACCCCACTCCCAATCTTCCCCTACACCAAATTCCCCACCCCCCCCCCACCCACGGGCCGATCAACCCCCCACCCTCAAGCTCACCTTTCTATGATTTGGTAGTGTCACTTATTGTAAACAAAATGATCATAAAAATAAACTTAGTTTAGCGTTTTTTTTTAGTTATCAGGATAGATATCAGCTAGATAAAGTCCAACCCACCTGAATGTGGCTGTTGAATGTTACATCAGTTAAAGCTTGCCAGTTCCTTAACACACAAAAGTACTCGGAAACCCCTTCTAAAATTAGCGCAAATATTTCCGGGAACTCTTCGCGTGTTTCTTCCCATGCTTCACAATCTGACGCACTGGCCTTTAACCTCTGACCCGTGAACTCTCTCAACCATGCATCAAACGTGAAGGCAGACATCTTTATCCTCCGAGCCATTTCTACCTTTTTTTCCTGCGCCCAAAGTTTTGTTTTTATAGCACGATAGTTATGCTTAAATAATTTCCTCATACATTCCAACACCTCCCCGCCCTACCCCCCCCCTTCACACGCCTCCACCCCACCCCCTGTTACACAAACCTTTACCTCACTCACCTACACCGACCCCCACCCCCACCTAAAAATTCCCTCTTTACACGCCCCTCTCTCCCCCATCCATCTCGTGTGGATTTCTTTTTATCCTTTTCAAAACATCCACACCGACAAAAGTATTTTATATCCATTCAAACATCTGGACGACCTACACCCCTACAAAATAAAGCAAGAACAAAAATACATCTCAATCCATAATTCTTTTTTTTTCAGACTCCCAAGTTTATCACGAAAATTTCAACTTTAACACGCATACAATTCACACAAATAATACAACACAATATTTTTACTCAACACGCATACAATTCACACAAATAATACAACACAATATTTTTACTCAACACGCATACAATTCACACAAATAATACAATACACTATTTTTACTCAACACGCATACAATTCACACAAATAATACAACACAATATTTTTACTCAACACGCATACAATTCACACAAATAATACAATACACTATTTTTACTCAACACGCATACAATTCACACAAATAATACAATACAATATTTTTACTCAACACGCATACAATTCACACAAATAATACAATACAATATTTTTACTCAACACGCATACAATTCACACAAATAAGACAATGCACTATTTTTACTCAACACGCATACAATTCACACAAATAATACAATACACTATTTTTACTCAACACGCATACAATTCACACAAATAATACAATACACTATTTTTACTCAACACGCATACAGTTCACACAAATAATACAATACACTATTTTTACTCAACACGCATACAATTCACACAAATAATACAATACACTATTGTCACTCAAAACGCTTACAACTTACACAAATAATTCGAGATTTTAATCTTAACTTCAACTTGCATATAAATCCTACTTCTTCCAGGCATCTCTTCGCCCCCCCCCCCCCCCCCCCCCCCTCCGCCCGCCCGCCCGCCCGAACGAAATTAAATTTATATAGAAAATATATACTTTTAACAGTGTCCCCCCCCCCTAGAAAAAAGTCTGGAAGAAACACTGCCTACAAATAACACAATACGAGATTATAACATCAACACTTATACAACTTCCACAAATAATTCGACGTTTTAACTTTAACACGCATACAACTTCCACTAATATTTCGAGCTTTTAACTTCAACACGCATAAAATTTCCACAGATAATTCGAGATTTTAAGTGCAAAATGCTTATTAATTCCTACAAATTCCTACAAATAACACAATGCGTGATTTTAACATCAACACGCATAAAACCTCCCACAAACAACACAATACAAGATTTAAACATCAATACGCATACAACCTACCACAAATAACACAATACAAGAGTTAAACATCAACCCGCATACAAATCTCACAAACAATTGTCTTTCAATAAAGAAACAACCCGACTCTGGCGGCCTGGGAAAGATTCTCACGGTGAACGATAGATTTCCAACAAGAATTTTTTTAGGTGTGTTTTTTTTTTTGTTTCAGAAGAGTTTCCACAACAAGCATAGCGTCCATTCACCTATACCAACAAGCAATTAGTTTCCTGCCTTTGTATCTAAAAAAAATATATTTTTTTACATGTTTTTTCTCCCCAGGATGGTTTCATCTCATTTAGTGAATTTTTACAAGCGCTTTCTGTGACGTCACGTGGGACGGTGGAGGAAAAATTAAAATGTGAGTAGAAAAATTCTTCAGACGTGGAAGGAAAGGGGGATAATCCTTACAATATAGATCCCAGACCTAAAGGGAGATAATGTAACGAGAAAGTAATTACTTTTTTATTTTTATTTTTAAGAAAGGTAAAAGAAATCTGGAGATGGGTGGGGTGGGGTGGGAAGGGACAGGTGAGTATTCAGGAAGGGGAAAGGATGAAATTACATAGACAGGAACAAAGAGCCGGCCCGAGTTGCTTAGCTAGAAAATATAGCAACGTAACGCTTTGGGGAAAGAAAGCAAGGTCGAGGTCGCTTTACCACGGATACATGAAAAAAGTAGTTTGTCGCATTTGTGTTAAAATGTCTTACACTAAAGTAGAAATAAAATTCTAGTTTCGATTGAAATAAAAAAAAAATGCAGCTTCTTAAAAATAAAAGCCCAAAGCAAAAAGAATATTATTAACCTGAAAATTATATCAGTGGTATTTTTTTATACTTCATTTTATTTCGTATAAATTATTTTTGGCTGCTTAAATTGGTAATTGGCATCTTGTCCGATTTTTTATTTCGTAGTTACCTCCCTTGAAGATCTCGTTATTTCCGCTTTAACCTTTTAATTCAAGATCTATCTGGGAAAAAAGTGAACTTAAATAATGAGGAGAATTTTTAAGCTTCCTGAAAGACGCTCGAAGTCAGTTTCTTTCAGGCTTCTCTTCAGGGGACACTGCCTCCCCCCCCCCCTCCCCGGATCACGCTAACACCCCTTCGCAGAAGAAATCTAAAGAAAAAATATGATTTATATAGAAAACATATTTTTTAACGAGTGTCCCTCCCCCCCCACCCCCGAAAATTTAAGACCAACTACCCCCTACTCAACAAAACTTTAAGAGGCTCCCTCTCCCTGATTGAAATAGCCTCTAGATCTAACTATATATATATATATATATATATATATATATATATATATATATATATATATATATATATATATATATATATATATATATATATATATATATATATATATATATATACATATACATACATAGATACATATGCATAGATACATATACATATATAAATATATATATAAATATATATAAATATATATAAATATATATATATATATAAATATATATATATATATATATATATATATACGTATTTTATTTTGTATTGTTCCAGGGGCATTTAGGCTGTACGACCTTGACAATGATGGCTATATAACACGTGACGAGCTATTAGATATTGTTGATGCAATATACAGGATGGTGGTAAGTCTAGTGTACAGACTATAGTATGGTGGATAGGCGCGCGCACAAAGTAAACAATAGTTACTATGGTAACTGGAATCGACCATTGGCCATATAGAGATGAAGTAGAGTTAGGATGTCAACAGCATGGGAATAGATAGTAAAGTTAAAAAATTATAAGATTCTATTATGTAGAATGAGTAGATAAAGTAGAGTTTTTTTTTGCATGATTTTTGCATATAAAGTGGATTTCTTAGCGAGCCAATTTACCCCGCCACAACCCCACCCCCTTATGCCTGGTATCAATATAAGCTGAGTAGACTCGCTGGTGTACCACATCGACTAATGTGTTACTGTGATTCAACCACTTGACTTTTGTTGAGCTTTACTGCTTGATAACTCGGTACGTTTTTTTACCTTTACAAAACAATGTGACATGACACTTATTGACGTTGTCATCTGAACATGGCAGTTATTGACATTGTCATCTGAACATGACAGTTATTGACATTGTCATCTGAACATGGCAGTTATTGACATTGTCATCTGAACATGGCAGTTATTGACATTGTCATCTGAACATGACAGTTATTGACGTTGTCATCTGAACATGACAGTTATTGACATTGTCATCTGAACATGACACTTATTGACGTTGTCATCTGAACATGACACTTATTGACGTTGTCATCTGAACATGACAGTTATTGACATTGTCATCTGAACATGACAGCTATTGACATTGTCATCTGAACATGACAGTTATTGACATTGTCATCTGAACATGACAGTTATTGACATTGTCATCTGGCAGGGCGAGTCCGTCACTTTACCCGAGGAAGAAAACACGCCAGAGAAAAGGGTCAATAGAATTTTCCAAGTTATGGATAAGGTAGGTCAAAGTTCAAGGGTCATCACAAATGCACTTACGTGTCACCCGCGTATTCGTCATCATTCTGTCTAAACATCAAAACAACTCAAATTATTCTGTCTAAATAGTAAATTTACTCACACCATTTTGTTTAAATATCAAAACAACTCACACCATTTTATTTAGACATGAAAAGACAACCCTTGGATAATACAGTAGCACACGAATGCTCAATTCTGTTAAGTTTGCATAACAATAAAACATAAAACTAACACTTATGATTTTAATTACAATTAACTTAATTAAATAATGAATAAACTCTGCCTTGATGTTAACTCTTATACATTGAATACGCCAGCATAAACGACTACGTAATCTCCAATGTGTAAGTTACATCTTTTAATTACATGTTGCCATAAAAGTTGTTCAGTTTTGTTTCAGTAATAAGAGCGTCTTTTTACGTATATGAAGCAGTTTAGGTTAAAAATGTTATTACATATATTGTTCTGTTTTTGTTTTTTAGTTAATATTTTATTCAAATAGTTCATTAAAAATTTAATAAACTGCTTAATTAAAATGTTTTTATGACAACCGCACACACTAAAGAAAAACAACTGTAAATACTTGAAGTTGACAAGTATGGCTAACTTAACTGTGGCTAACTGTAACTTTCGTAATGATTTTTTTAAGTCAATCAACTGACTTGTAAATACCAAACAAAATAACAACAAATGCGTTTCGCTATTCTGCAATGGGTTTAAAGGGGCAGTATCACCCAGACCAAGGGAGAGAAACAAAACTATGCACCAAAAAAAAAACTATTAGACATACACATGCTAAATTTTCACAGTAGTAGTAACGTGTCTTAACATATAATACAAAAAAAATTGAATAGCAACAAATTTTCTAAAAATTAATGTGTTAGTATTTTAATACATTCTAAATTATTTTGTAAACAATTTACTGAAACCATACATAAAATACTTACAATTTGGTATAAAGTTTTCTTACGTTCGATACAGTTGTTATGACTTTTTGGACAAGTAAAATTATTTTTAAAAAAAAATATATAAATAAATAAATAAAAAAAAAAAAAAAAAAATTAAACACTGAATACAAGATCAAGCCTTTTACTAAATTTCAACATGGCACCCAAGATGAAAAAACCAGCAACCCAACCAGCCTCAGCTCCAGCACCTAAGGAAGCTAAAAAAGAGGAGAAAAAGACTGCACCACCTCCCAAAGTTGATGCAGGAGTAGTGAAAGCTAAAGAAAAAGCACTTAAACATGACAAAAGAAACCGTCAAAATAAGGACATCTGTACATTTCCGTCGTCCAAAAACCCCTAAGCTGCCCAGGGCTCCCAAATATCCACGCAAGAGTGTGAACAAGAGTAACAAACTTGATCAGTATGCACTGATTAAGTACCCTCTGACCACTGAGTCTGCCATGAAAAAAATTGAAGACAACAATACTCTTGTATTTATTGTCGACAAGCGTGCTAACAAGCCCATGATAAAGATGGCTGTCAAGAAACTGTACGATATTGAAGTATCAAAGGTTAATACATTAATTAGGCCTGATTGTGAAAAGAAAGCCTATGTGCACTTGGCTCCAGATTATGATGCCTTAGATGTTGCCAATAAGATTGGAATCATCTAAAGTGGAGTATAACTGCATTAAAATTTGTTCTAAATGTAAAAAAAAAAAAAAAAAAAAAAAAAAAAAAAAAAAAAAAAAAAAAAAAAGTGAAACACTGCGAAAAAGAATCCAAAAGCCCTTATTGCGAGGATTCGGAATCTATATTAACCACTAAACAGCAGTTAAAACGCACCTCAAAAACTGGCATACAAACAACGATGTTTATTGCATCAAGACTCAAACAACGAAGTAACATGTCTGCAGAGACGAAGAGGACTAGTTCAATCAACCATGAAATATAACTGGAATGTTTCAAATGACAACCAACTAACACCACAAGAACTTCAATAATTGTCAACTTTTGTATCAAATCCAAACTTTTTTATTATTTTTATCTGGTTAAAAACTCATTTAAATTGAACTATATATATTTCATTATATGCATTTGTTATATAATTAAAACATTGCCTATTTTTGTAATGTAAATACTTGTTAATTTTAAAAAAAAGTTTTATTAGATTAGTTATAAAAAAAATTTGAAAAATAAAAAAGGGCTTTATATATGAAATTTCTCTTCAAAAAAAAAAATTTCATAAGTCCCTTCATGTTGGTTTGGCTTTGAAAATGTTTCGAAAGTTCTAAATTTGTTGAAATGGAAATCTTGTAGATCCAACGGGAGCTTTTAATGTTATGCATTTCCTTGAGTATTTGCAGCAGGAAGGGCCTAAATATTTCTTAATAAAATTCTTTGGGTACAATTATTTATAAAATATGTTTAGATCATACATTGAATTTCTTTTATGTGCTGTTTTATAGCTCCTTGGAAATAACTATTAGGGTAAAAAAAATATGTGTGTATGTATAATAGTTTTTTTTTTTGGCAAATTTTTTCGTCAATTTTCCATTGTCTGTGTGATACTGCTCCATTAAGTCTTTAAATTACGAAGCCTTATTTACCCGATGCCCTTCGTTTAATTTTAATGTTGTTTTAGTAAGCCGTGACTAAACCCCACATACTAGGATACCATCATGACGTTCCAAGCTGTGTATCTTCTCATAAACGTCTTTACAGTAGAGGCGTGTAGCAATGGGGGGGGGGGGGAGTGGGGGGGGGGGGGGGGGGGGGATTTGTCCCCGGGCGCCGACCTTAGGGGGCGCCAAAATGGGTTGTAAAAACAAGTTAAAATGTCATTTTAGCTGCATTTTTGCAGTTTCGGGGGGGGGGGGGTGCAAATCCAAAGTTTGAGGGGGGGGGGGGGTGGGTGGTGCAAATTGAAAATTTGCTTCCGAGGGGGGCGCCAAATTGAAAGTTTGTCCCCGGACGCCGGGAAAGGTCGCTACGCCTCTGCTTTATAGTATGTATGGGATCAAATCCAGCATAACGTGTACCAAGAACACGTGGTTGTTTAACTGAAAAGTCCCGATTTTAAACCTACGTTCAGATAAGACGTTGCTGGGGGATAGCCAGTGGCGTAACCAGGATCGTCTCATCGGGGGGGGGGGGGGGTTCAAATTTTTACCCCGGGGACAAAATTTTGATTTGCACCCCCCCCCCCCCATCAAAATTTTGATTTGCACCCCCCTCAAACTTTTGATTTGCACCCCTCCCTCAAAATTTCGATTTCCACCCCCCCCCCCCCCTCAAACTTCCGATTTGCAACCCCCCCCCCCTCAAACTTTTGATTTGCACCCCCCCCCCCCCCTCAAAATTTCGATTTGCACCCCCCACATACTTTATATATGTACACCGAGGGGTCTATGGGGGGGGTTATGACCCCCCTAACCCCCCCCCCCCCCTGCCTACGCCACTGGGGATAGCAACTCATCTGGGCGAGAAAAATCCAAAAATAAAACAACTGCTAGCTTGTAGTTTATTCTTGGTTCGAACAAAAGCTATGGAAACGAACCCATTAAAGAAAAGCAGGCTGGAATTTGAGTCAACGACCTGTATGGCGCATAACAGGTTGACACGTAATGCTTAATGTGTTGGAGGAAATCAAGCTTAAAATAACAACTACCTAACAGTTTGCAAAGTCAAAACTACTGAAAAACAGCAATACGTGTTTGCTCACTGTCGGAATTATTGTGGGTGACGACCGGGCTATCAGTACCCTCGCACACCCTGGTGACGCCACAGTTTTTTTCTTCGATCACTGCGCGAAAAAAATTAACTCACAAACAAAAATCATTAGATTTCTAAATATATCAAACCGAGTTTTATTTAAAGGTTATCCTTATTTTGAGTATATTATACCAAAACATTGAAATTAAAATTAATTTTTTTTTTAATTTTCAGAATAAAGATGACCAGTTGACATTTGAAGAATTTCTAGAAGGTTCTAAAGAAGACCCCACCATAATCCAAGCCTTGACGCTGTGTGACTCAGGACAAGCTTAACCTATCACCTTTAACCTTTGCCTTATATTCTATGCCACACTTTTATTTTGTTCACATAAACTCATCTAAACCTTTCCACACTATTCTCCCGTTTTAATCGGAAGTTTTTTTTTTTTTTAAATTGTTTTTATTTTATTTTAAACTAACATTTTTTATGAGAGCTGTGTGTTGATTGGATAAAGCACTACGTCAAATTTATTTTCATTGGATGATTATTTATGTCTTTATTTTCTGAGCTCAACTTAATGCAACATTATTTGTGTTTGTGGTGATTAAAATGAATGCATGTTTTGAATTTCTATCAATTGATTACAAACATTTTATTTAAATATTATAAATGTAATTTTATAAAAATAGAATTCAATAAATTTTTATGGAATTAAACATACAAAATAAAAATTAAGAAAAAAAATTGTGATTTCCGGTGATGCACTTAGATATAACCGTTAGAGAGGCACGTTGATTTTCTTTATGTGTTTGTATAACTTTTTTTTTTTAATAATATTTTAAGATTTTGTGATTTGTTGCCTCTACGTCACGTTTCATTGTAATTATTTCTTAACGAAACAAAAATATAAAGTATGATGCATTGTAAACATGATGGTACAAGATTTGCCGTTGTTGTTCATTCATTGTACACAATTAATTTAGTTTAGACCTGATAAAAGTTTGATCATTCAAAAACTATACTAATTCGCATAGGCTATTTAAAAATACACGCAATTTATGGAAGGTAGTTGCTATTTTTAGTCCTAACTTCTACGGCTATTATGAAACTTTGTGTTTAATCAATTCCTATATTTTTAAATTATGATATAAAAGAAAACAACTCAAGTGCTAGCATTTTTTGAAGTGGTCACATATTTAACAAAACATATCCGTCTAACTTCTCAAAGCATGAGCAACTTTTGTTTTTAGTAATTTAAAACATGTGTAAATGTTTGTTTTTTCAAGTGCACCTACATACGTGTACATTTTTGTGTACATTCAGTAAAAGGGAAAATTTCAAAATGAAACAGATGCTTTATTTAGGCTGGTCTGTATTCCACTGCATGCTAAGGCATGCTGATGAATGCCGAATTTGTATTAATTTTTTAAAGTGCCGCATAGGTTGCCTAAAAAAATCAAATAATCTTTGTTTTTATTGATCTTAAAGTAATTTAACCTATTTATGTGCAGGCTCTGTTCGTCTATTCATTAATTGATCACTGAAAAGTAATTTCTCATAAGGAATAAGTAAATCGAAAGTCTTAAGTTAGGATTTGGAGCTCTAGTCTGTAGAATGTGCCTGAGTCCACCCAACTTTGAAGGGTACCTGACTCACGTTAGGGTGAGTACAGGCGGCTGGGCATAGCTCTGAATACACTAACACCTTGAAACAGATGATGGTGATGATGATGATGATGATGATGATATTGATGATGATGATGCATTTCTTAATGTGTTACATATCAGCAGCATTAATATACTCTAATATGGAAAGTAAACAAACTACACATTGAATTTACAAGGGTTTTAGAATCAATTAGTTTTTAAACTAAAGTATAAAATGTATGTTTAAATGATTATTTGATGCATATACTATCTTTTATATTGCTTTAAAGTATTTACCTTCAAGTAAATATGTGGTTTTCCTGATTATAAATTGTGATTTACACGATTATGGGTCGTCCATAGATTTTGGAAATTTTAAATAAAACTTGGAATACCCCTACTTTTATTTACTCCGTGACTGAACAAAAACATAACATCAACACGGTTTCCCGCCGATATTTTGACCAAAGTTGGTGTTCTTGGTATTGTGTGGGAGATCAGGATATTCAAGTAAAGCGCACCAACCGTCTTCAACTCCACTTGGTAGTATGTCTTACAGGTCGGCGCACGAATAGGTTCTCTGGAGAATCTTTATTAGGCGCCCCTGTGATCATGTAGATTTATTTTATTTTCTGTGGTTATTCACTCAGTCAGGATCGCCTCCCTTAACTATTTCTGTAAGGTGCAAACTAGACGACTTTGATAAAAAATATGTTGGTGTGCTTGTGAGTGGTTGTTTGTGTAAATGATTTCATAATTCACTTTTCACCCTTTTCTGCATTTTAAATTTAATTATATTTAATTGTGTGTTTTCTTTTTTAAAATATTAATGAAAATGTATTCATTCCTTGAAAACGGTGTTGAGTTATATTTAATGGTTTGCTTCTCCTGTGCGAATAAAGGGAAATAACTTTTTATATTCGGAAAAGATAAATAAAACTAGCAGTTACCTCTTTACTTTTTGCGATAAAGTAAAGTATATGTTAATAAATGTTAGCAATTTCTGTAAGCAAGTTATTTATCAAAGAAATGTTATTAAAATCAAAAGGTGATTGATCAGCAATGCATAAAACTATATTCACAAACCTGAAGGAAATTGATTTGTAGTATTTTATATTTCACACATTTCTCGTAGATTTTTAATTTATTCTTTGAAGTTTTCTGGAATGAAAAATAATGAAAAATTGACGCTATTGTAAAATATTTCATATAAATCCTCTGAAGAAAATAAATAAATAAATAAATAACTTCCACTGAAGGTACCCTCGCATACATTTTTTAGAAATATTCTAAAAATCTCTAAAAATGACCGCCTTCTGGAGACAAGTTGGACTAAATTACATAAATTACTCTCAGATATGTGCTAAGTTGTAAGGAGGGTCCACAAAGAACCTCACAAGACAAATGTGTTTGGAAGAGATGACAGTGTCATTAAAACAGCCAAATGGGAAAATGGAAAAATAGTTAAAACAGTTGCAGCACAAGGAAAAGAATAGACTTTTTAGGACAAATTTGTATATGGCAGGGGTCGGCAACCTGCGGCTCGCGAGCCGCATGCGGCTCTTTTGATATCAAGATGCGGCTCTCCAGCTCCTTAAACAAATACTAATAATCTTAATAAAAAAATAAAGTATTTGAAATTTTAAAAAAGTGTTAGTGGCTCTTTAAAACCAGGGAAATTTTGAAAATTTTAACTTTTGGCTCTTCCGCTTCAAAAGGTTGCCGACCCCTGGTATATGGATGTTGAATGGTCGCCACCTTGGATTGCTTGTAGTCATGAATGGGACTTTTTCTTATAGCTAGGTCTGTAAACAATTTTACGGCAAACTTCCAGTTTTCTATTATGTTAATCAATGGAAATTTGTCAGTGTTCTTATGAATGAATGTTTTATTCATATGTATAACAAAATAAAATTATTTAAACAAAATAAAATTAAATATATCGACTTTTAGCAGTGGTCGGCAATTTGCGGCTCGCGAGACGCACGCGGTTCTTTTGATGTCAAGATGCGGCTCTCCAGTTCCGTATTAATTTTTTTTTTATTTTCAAAACTCAACAAATAGTAAAGTAATAGTATACTGTAAAAATAAAAATAACTTTAAACAAAATTTTAAAAAATACAATAAGAATAGGCGGAGTAGAGCGTATATGGATCACTGACAGCCGCTGGGCATTACCAGTGTTTCTTCCAGACCTTTTCCATCCGGGGAGGGGGGCGAACACTGTTAAAAGTATATATCTTCTTTATAAATTCCATTTTGTTCGGGGGGGGGGGGGGTTAGACCCTCTCCGGAGAGGGGGGGGTCGCTCCTGGAAGATACCTGGAAAAAATCTGGGCATTAGACCCAGCTCCACAACTGTGCTGAGGTTAGTTAGCCCAGTGGCAATGGTTCCATGCTTTCCACTACCGAAGTACATACATATGCTAGTGGCTCTTTAAAAATTAGGAAATTTGTAGATTCTAACTTTTGGCTCTTCCGTCTCAAAAGGTTGCGACCCCTGACCTATAGGTAGGAATAATCAAATAACTACAAATAGTAGACCTGGGTCTTATAGAAAAGACCATATAAAGTAGAGTTTCTCTGATCTCGGCACCTTGACCTAAGTCAGCTACCCATCAGAGTTCGAGACCTCAAACGCTCCTTGAGAATTAAACTCAGGACTTTCATGCAGGCAACATTGTGCCCTACCACTCGACTTAAAGTAATACATAAATAAAACACGTCATGTAGTGTAAGCACGCTAAGTTGAGCATTACCTCGTAATAAATTAGTACAGTAAGTACTAAGCTACTCTCTCAGTACATAATTATTTTAAAAGTTAACTAAAAATTGATTTTTACTTTCTAGTATAGAGGAAGTATTGTAATCGTGCACAAAAATCACATGAAATTTTGACAGTTTTCACCGTTTTACACCTCATTACTTCATCACAAACGGAGTATAGGGGACTTATATTAATCCGGTAAAAAATTCTAAATCCAGATTTATCAAAATATTGGCGTTTTATTAGAACTTACGATCCATTGGGCAGATGAAGTAGAGTTCATATGTTTCTTGACCTCGACATATGAAGGAATGATGTGGTCAGCACTGTGCCCAGCCACCTTTACATTCCCCACGAACCCTTCAAGTCCGAACCGAGATCCGAACTCGAGACCTTCGAGTTAACAACCAAACGCTCGACAATGCAACCACGCAGTCTCAAAAGTACATACTATCGCAAGTATTGGAGGAGAACTTCATTAGACAGTAAAGCTGTGATTTCATAAACAAATGTTTCAAGATCTGCTCCCCTGTTCGTCTGTAGTGACAACCCAGCACGAACTAGTAACCCCCCCCCCTCCACACACATACACACAGCGAGGGGGGAGGGGGTATATATGTCCTCGGGCGCCGACTTAGGGGGCGCCTAAATGGGTTGGAAAAACAAATTAAAATGTCAGTTTAGCTGCATTTTTGCATTATAAATAGTTTTAGGGGTGTGTGCAAACTAAAGTTTGAGGGGGGGGGGGGATGCAAATCGAAAGTTTAAGGGGGTGCAAATCAAAAGTTTGAGGGGGGGGGGGGGGGTTGCAAATTTTCAATTTGCTTCCGAGGGGGCGCCAAATTGAAAGTTTGTTTCTGGGCGCCGGGAGAGGTCGCTACGCCTCTGCACACACACATCATGTCTGGTCAAGAAATGGAGACACGCTTTCCTCGGGCAATACAATCCATCCGTATGTAGTCCAAATTTAATACACTAAATAAGATAATCCAACACGATCATGAGGTTGTCGTGGCCGAGTGGTTAAGGCGATAGACTAGAAATCTATTGGGATCTTCCCGCGCAGGTTCGAATCCTGCCGACAACGTATTTTTTTTTTAAAAGCTCTTCCGTACCTAAAACAATATTGGGTTAGGTTACGCTTTTGGACCTTGCGGTCAATAAGAAAGATGAAGTAGAGTTCATGTATTTCTGTGACCTCAGGTTACAAAGAGTCTTTTCAGTTCTATCAATAGTTCAGTGCGTAATCGCCTTTAATTTACGTAGCATTTCAGCCATTCTATAAATTTAGGGACGTGATACGCACTCGAAACTTTTGGATCTTGCTACTACGCTCTAACGTACGACCACCCACGCCTTTTAAAAAGTTTAAGTCTTTTAAATCGCGAATAGGTCATCAGTATCCTTTCACCTGTGTATTACCTGAGTATCACATTTATTTTTGCTGCGCCAGTGGTCGCTTGATTGTGACGTCGACACCGATGCTAATGGGTATGGGTGCTCATAATTTACAAATTAACTAAGACTTTCACAAAACAAACGATTGTCGTGGCTAAGTGGATAAAGGTTATGGGTGCTCATAATTTACAAGTTAAATAATTAGTTAACTAACACGATCATTCATTTAACGGTTGTCGTGGCCGAGTGGTTAAGGCGATAGACTAGAAATCTATTGGGATCTTCCCGCGCAGGTTCGAATCCTGCCGACAACGTCTATTTTTATTATACAAAAACAACTTTTTTTTACCATAACTGTAGGTGCTGGTTGTAAGAAAGATTTACCAAAAGGTCAACCGCTTGATTTTAAAAAAATCAGGACTTCGTCTGAGGTCTTGGCACACATTTAACTCATACTATTCACAATCGGATTTTGTCAGTGTGGACGATAGAACTATTAAGGTTTCGTAGAAAACGCTTATGAAACTGCTCGGGTTCGGTACCTCTAAAAAAGTTTGAGAACCACTGTTATAGATATTACCAATAATATTGTGTCCTTTTTTTTTTGTAACTTCTACCACGCTGTGATCCACGTTTTCTGGAGTCGTACTCTGCATCGTTTGCCTTAGAGCAGGGGTCTCCAAACTACGGCCCGCGGGCCGGATGCGGCCCGCGATGTCCTCTCATCCGGCCCGCTGTGATCTTTTTGTCCACGGAAAAAAACGTTTGTTGGTGATGGCTGAGGAACTTTGCCCAGAAAAATCAAAGACATGCCTGAAAGAAACTGGCCCCGAACTGAAATTTGATAGTTAATGCGGCCCTCGGACTGAAAAGTTTGGAGACCCCTGCCTTAGAGGTTCCACTCGAAGGCCTGTCTGACTCTGGCTACTTTGAATGTGTCCTTCGTCAGTTTAAAACAATTGTTTTCAAATTTCAACATGCAAACTATAGAGAAAACAATGCTACACCCAGCTGTATGGACAACCGACCATAGACAAATATCATAGTATTAAATGTAAACACTTCAAAGCTTTTGCCGGGGGGGGGGGGGGGTGACACAATGAGGTGCTGCTACGGGTGACACCCGACCTAGCGACGCCACTGCATTACCGACTAGATACACCGATAAGATAAAATATATCTCTAGATTAGAAGCGCACATAACTGTCAACTTCATTTGATAATAAAAATATTTACATTGTTTATTCAAGTCGTGTTAAAAATAACAGTTGTCGTGGCCGAGTGGTTAAGGCGATAGACTAGAAATCTATTGGGATCTTCCCGCGCAGGTTCGAATCCTGCCGACAACGTTACCTTCTTTTTTTTAAAACTAAACATATGCATACGTATAGAAGTAAAAATTAAGTGTTAACTACACTCTCGGACCTCACGATCTATAAAGTAGATGGAGTAGATTTCATGTATTTCTGTGACCTCAGTATAGAAACAAAGAGACTGGGTGGTGTTTTCTATCATTAGTGTTATGCCTTCCCGCATTTACGTACCATAACACTTCAGTTAACACAAGAACTCAATGGACTTAGGGCCGTCTCCGGACTCAAGAACGGGATTCGAACACCAAACCAATGGAGTTTACAATTATATGCTCTCACGTCCGACCACGCTTTTATTACGTTCACTATTTTATTCGTTGCTTGCTCCACATATTTTGGAATATAAATTTAACACACTTCCAATTGAGCTGAAATTTGGCACGGCAATAGATCTTGGATGACAATGCAAGGATGTATAGTTTTTAATCTAATTATATAGACCAGGGGTCGGCAACCTGCGGCTCGCGAGCCGCATGCGGCTCTTTTGATATCAAGATGCGGCTCTCCAGCTCCTTGAACAAATACTAATAATCTTAATAAAAAATAAAATATTTGAAATAAAAAAAATGTTAGTGGCTCTTTAAAACCAGGGAAATTTTGAAAATTGTAACTTTTGGCTCTTCCGCTTCAAAAGGTTGCCGAACCCTGATATAGACTAAAAATAAAAGCATGGGTGCTCGGTGATGGAACATAGGTCTTATTTTATAGAACATAAACCTATTAATGAACTTATTATGAAAGGAAGAATATCTTCCATTAGTGAGCGCCCTGGCTTTTATTTTTAGTCATACCAGCGCATAGCTTTTGTAAAGTAAGTTTTTGACTTTTTATTAGGGCCTAGATCTACATTTTTTCATTTGTGAATAATTTTTTTTTTTGTGTGATTTGTGTGAACTTAATAAAAAGCATTTTTCCTTTAAAAAGTATTTTTATGTGAGAATTATTTTGACAGTATTAAGTTTTCAACTTTGATATGGTCTTTAGTTTCCATTGAACTGGGCATTACAGATTTATTTTTGTTCCACCTTTGGTCGCTCGTTTTTGATGTTTCAAAATTACATACATTTAAGAATGTGGTTGTCGTGGCCGAGTGGTTAAGGCGATAGACTAGAAATCTATTGGGATCTTCCCGCGCAGGTTCGAATCCTGCCGACAACGAATATTTTTTTAAGTTAAAATTTGGGGATTTAAGTAATGCTTTACAGATTGATACGCTCCTATATGGAGGGGGAGGGGGGGGGGAGGTGACTGGTGAGCTCTTGAAATTTTCGGGGAGAGGGGGGCGGACCAAAATTTCCGGGGGGGGGGGGGGCACTGTTAATGTGATATATTTTCTTTTTATAAAATTCAAAATCTAGTTCTTTCAAAGAAGAAAATAATGTTATAAATTTAAACTTTCTCGAATATTCTTTTATAAAAAAACAGAGGATGGGAACTCGGGATATAGACATGAATTTTAATCCATTTTAAATACTTAAACTTTTTAAAATAGAATAAAATGTCGTAGAAAAAAGAATTGCACACCTGTGAACGCCAAATAAAACGTGCATAATAGTGCGGAATATTATTTGTACTTTAAAAATTTACATTAGTTTTTGAAAAATCGGAAATATTGTAAATTAGTACTTTCAATCAACGCAAATTTCTCAAAATTTGACAGAAGGTAGAGAATTAGATCTTTTACTTACATGTGAAATTTCATAAATCTATCTAAAATAGTACTCAAGTTATAGGCTTTTTAAAAATTCAAAGTAGAAAAAGTACCACTTCCTATTATCGGAAATCGCTCAAAAGTTGATTAGGATCTACGATTTTGATAAAATACTTATATATGAAATTTCATCAACCTAGCTGTAACGGTACTCAAGTTATCGTGTTTACACACAGGCAGACAGACACACAGACATACGGACAAGATTGCAAAATTATGTTTTTCCGTATCAGTGAGGTGTAAAACGTCGAGATTTGTAAAAATCTCCATTTTTTTTCTTTTTGCACGATTACAATACTTTCTTTACGAGAAAGTAAAAATGTAAACTAACTTTGCAAGAATTTATCAGGACTAATTTTATTTGTGTCGCTAAAAGCTAGTTTTGTAAACTTTTTAATTGGAAACATAAATAATAAACAATCACTTCCTTTTCCGGATTCGTATTAGTATAGTAAAACAAGATCTGGAATAAAATATTAAAAACAGTATTTTCATTCGAGTACTTAGTATTTAGAATTAGCTAGTATTGATCTAGATCCAGTATTCTAGATATTACACGAGTCGTCGCACACAACAGGTTATTACCGTTGCTTAAAATTAGTTTTTTTTAAATTTTAACTGTAAAACTTAAAAATTGGAATAAAAACTAAAATTTAAAAACTGCCTTGTCAGTGGGAGAAAAGTAAAAATGTGTCATGTAGTCATATAGGGACAAATCGGCCCCGTCAAAACGGCCCCGTTAATTTGACCCCGTCAAAATCGACCCCCCACAAAACGACCCAGTCAAAATAGCCCCGTCAACAGGGCCCCGACTTATTGGCTCCCGTCAAATGGGCTCCAGTTATATCGACTCGCGACATATGATATGACATATAGGCCCTAGGTCATTTAGGCTCCCGACAAATGGACTCTTGACATATTGGCTCCCGACAAATAGGCTCAGAACATAATGGCTCCCGACATAAGGGCTCACAACAAATGGGCTCATGACATATTGGCTACCGACAAATGGGCTCCCGACATATTGGCTACCAACAAATGGGCTCCTGACATATTGGCTCCCGACAAATGGGCTCCCGACATATTGGCTCCAGACGAATGAATGGCATGACCACTATTGGCATAAAAGTAACCATTTTGTCCTACCTCCACTACTACTATAACCTCTTTTTAATGCCTGCATGAAATTGTTTTTCATGAACCAACATCAATTCACAAACAAATCAAGCCCTTAACAGCTAAAATCTACCAATTCTAAAATTTTGATGTTTAATTTACAACAGTAAAGATCTGTTGCATAAAAGCGAGCACAGAAGTGAAAATGTATGATATACATGATGTTTACAGGATAACGACATTTTGTTTTGATAACCTACAAGCATACTGGAGGAAGGTACAGCGTGGACCCTTCTCCCCACACACTGAGTTAGAACAGCCTATAACCAACTCAATTATGGAAGTCATAGATAGATGACCCTTAAGTTAAAACATACTATATTTTATAATAGTTAAACTAATATAAAAAAATGGCCTGCCGTTGTATTACTTAAGAGTGTTGGATAAGCTAACTCTAAATATTGATGAAGGGGTCCCACTGGCAGGTGTCATATTCAATGAGACCGCTTTGCCGGGAGACATAGTCTCTACAGAATCGGTATTGTCTGGAGCCAAATTGGCAGGAGCCTTTTTGTCGTGAGCCAAAATGACACTAGCCTTTATGTGGGGAGTCGTGATGGCGGGGGCCGTTTTGTTGAGAAACTAAATGGCGGGAGCCTATTTGTCGGGAGTCGTAATGGCGGGGGCCGTTTTGTGGAAAAAACTAAATGATGGGAGCCTATATGTCGGGAGCCTATTTATCGGGAGCCTTTATGTCCATATGTCGCTGGCCATTTTGATGGGGCTCTTATGTTGGGGGCCATTTTGCCATTGGCCGTTTTGACGCCACACTAGTCATGTAGTAATGTATGCTAGTTAAAATGAAAACCCCTTCGAGTGGTTAGGAGTTGCAGTGTGTGTAATTCTAGATCTCTGTCGTATGAAGTTTGAATTCAGCATAAATTATGTTATATCCTGACCTTTTTGAAATTGTGGTGACAGCTCTTTTAGTTTAGTTAGTTAGGGTCGTCATTAGTTTAGTAGTCAGTTTACTGAGTTTAGTTTATAATTTACTATTTACGAAACATGTTCTGATTTAACAGTGATTTTCGTACCCATACCCATGAACATCTAACAGTTACTTCTTAACAGTTTTGACAAAATTACCACACACAAAAATTCATGTCATAAAAAAAAGTTCTTCTCCTAACATTTTTTGTGTGTTTTGGTTTTGTTTTAATAAACTATGATAAATCTACTTTGCCTTACTCAAAGTGAATGTGAAGCTGTGTTTAAATTAAGCTAAAATGAATTTTAGCTGCGAATAACTAATCTACCTTTTTATTTTTCTTAGGACTTCGATATTCAGATCTTGATCTAGACTTACACTTTACTTTTGCTAGATTTAGATCTAGAATCATATGTGAATGTGTGTTTTCATTAGGCTAGGCCTACCTAAAAATAATTACCTTATCTATTTCTAATAATGATGTTAAAATATTACGAAACAAATTATGCCAAATGGATTAGCTTATCAAGTTTAGCTAAAGCCACATTCTCATTATCATAACTTGGACTTAAACTAATTTCATCTCAAGTATAACAAGAAAAATAGTCTCTCACTTTAAACATAAATCACAATTGTTAGGCCTATAATTAATTGCTATAATTTATGACACTAGATACTGCAGGTAGATCTAATATTTAGTTTTTAAAATTGAAATTTTTATTGTGATCCCATGTTAAAAGGTATAAATTAATTTGTTTTTATTGTGGTGGGCCTAACTAACATAATTTGTGTTCTTCAGTTATGTTTGCGAAGCTCAAGAAAAAGATAGAAAATGAAGGAGGTGCAATCCTTAATTCAGATTCTCCTGGCAAGAGCAGAAGAGATTCAGGTGATATATTTTAATATGACTGCTGTAAAAGTTTTACTTTCAGAAAATGCTACATAAATTGGATGAACATGTTATGATTATTAATAAGTTAATGATTATTATTCCATACTACTTCCATTCAATAATATTAATAATAATATTGGAATATGATTAGTTTTTCCTGGAATTGAATTTTGATTTGTACCTGTGATCATCAAATACTTAAAATAATTTCCCCATATATTAACAGAAAATTGGTTAACAAAATTTGTTTGGTGTAACATACAGTTCTTCTAATTTCATTCTATTTAATTCTATTTAATCTATTTCAGTGACTAGTCTCCCACATGCTGGGTCTTTTCAACATCTAGGCCCATCTCCCCCAGGTAGCATAGCCAGTGAAGATTCATCAGTGAGTTTATTTCATGGACATTTCTTGTTTCTATTTAATTTGCTTTGCAAGTGAATTTTTTTTTTTAAAATGGGCTTTGTTAATGATAAGTAAAACTTATTTTGGTTATGTCCTGATACTTTTTCTTAAATTTGTTGCCTGTTTTATTCTGTGGATAATCCTTTATGACAAGCACTATCATTTATTCTCTAATTACAGACTAACTTTTTGTTGTGTTCATGTTATATGCAGCAGACCTTTTGTCAAAGCAACAATTATAATGTAATTGCCCTGAATCAGTTTAAAGGAGCTAATCATTACACTTGAATCAATAAATTGTTAACTAAGGGATGGCATTCTGTAGGACATCCATGAGGATTTCTGAAAAATATTATCTAGTGTCAGTGAAAGCAATGGTGGCTTTGTCAAGTAATTAATCATAGCCACACAATTCTTACAATGCTGAGTTTAAATTTTCTTCATTCAGACTCTGAATAGCAATAACTAAATGAAAGACTATGTTTCTTAACTTTTAGCAGCTTAAAAGTTTTTTTTTTCTCTAGATGAGGGATGTGATGAACCCAAGAGATGAACTGACCATATTGTTGCAGAGAAAATCTGAGCAGTGTAAGAAACTGGAAGGCAATATTAGTGGTGAGTTTTAGAGCCAGTATTTTCTAAAATAGTACTTTAATCATATCTCTGTTGTGCTCAGGAGGTGTTCATGTTTAATTCAGCAGCATTAAACCCATTTTCCTGATTTAAAATAGCAGGATTGTTTTTTTTTATATGTTGGGTTTATTTGTTTGTTTGAAAATGTATATTTAAATATTTTTGCATATTTAGTTTTCAATATGGATTGTTAAATGTATGTTGTTTGTCAATTTGTTATAGAAAAGAACCCATACATTGATTAGAGCTTATTAGTTTTAAATAAATATACTTTTGCTAAACTTGTTTATAAAATTGTTTTCTCTAGATTTAGCAGCACTGATAAAAGATAAAAGTAAAACAATAGATAAACTTGAACAGACCATCAAACAGCATGAAGAAGGTACTGATTTGTTTACAAATTAAGAATAAAGTATTTCAAAGTTAACATCTCAAGGCAACTAAAGAGTTATTTTGTTTATATATTTAATTTTTTTTTACTGCTAGCAACAAACAAGAAGCTACAGGAGCAGAAAGAAGAGTTTGAAAAGTACAGAGATAAGCTCATTGAAGGCTACCAGAGTGACAAACTAAAACTGGAAAAGGTAGGCTACTCTGTCTTTGGAATTACTATTATTTTTAACTGTGGGTTTTCCCCAAAAAAAAAACATAACCTGCTAAGTATAGCTTTTTTGCTGTTATGCCTAGTAAAAATATTTTAAAGTTGCTATGAAAACAAGCTGAGTATATTTTATATAAAAAACAGAGCCAATAAAAATACTCTGCCTGTCACATTTTCTATTGCATTCATCAAGTGCAACAATGACTTTTTGTTTATCAATCAATCATTTTTAAAAGACAAAATTGCGTACACAATCTGCAAAAAGATTTTTACCAAACCTGAATGATATAATACCATTTATGAAGAAAGATAAAAAAGATCTAGAATAAGGGATAAATAGATGCATTTTATGGAATTTCAAATTTTTTCCAGCTAAAATTTTACACTAAAACCTACCTTTCTGTTTGCAAAAAATATTAAAAAATAAATAGATGCTTCTTATGGAATTTCTAGTTATACTTAATGAAAGCGTAACATTAAAATCTAGCATTCTGTTTGCGAAAAACACTGGAATTAGAATTGAAAATAAACTGACCATCTCTGCAAAGGTAAGATTCGAAGAAGTAAAGTTTGAAAACTTGGCTGATCATGAACATTTCAGGACAAAAGTGAGTTATCCAGGCAATTGGTAGCTGCTGAGCAATACAAAGCCCGTTATTTCAAACGTGAAGAAGAGAATGATGAATTTGAAGGGCTGACCACTCAGGAGTTGGCCAAAGTTAAACATCTGGTACACAGTTCTCTGCCCCTGTATTTATTCCACTTCTGGAGAAAGCTTTTGTCTGTTTACAAAAAAAAAATTGCTTTGTTTTTTTTTTTTAAATATTTTTTTGCTATCAAAGAAGTTTATTTACAGCTTATTTAATTATTACAATTAACATAAGGAAAAATGTATATAGTTAAAGAAATTTTTAAAAATAAAACTAAAACTGAAATATTATTGAAAACGTTAATTATTTATATTTTGGAGGGGAAAGCAAGAATAGTTTTTTGCTAGTATCACTTACCATGATAGTAGTAGTCGACCCTAGCCTTTGAGTTATACTGCAAAATAAAAATAGTAGATGCAGTACGGTATTTCATGTGTCAGTTTTATCAACACTACAAAAATAAAAGCATTCTCCAGCCTATACTGACCCTAAGCATGGCCACCAAAATTAAGCTTGTTAAGGTTTTGGGTTTTGTTGGTGTTTGAAGTTATGACTTGCTTTAGCTAAGCAAACCACTGCAGAGGTGTGTGTTTTATTAAAAAAAAAATGTTTTGTTTCATTTATCAAATTGCTTTGGTTTTGGGTTCAGTTTTTGCATGGTGAGAAATAAATAACTACAGTATAAAAAGATATTTAACTTATTAATATTCCTTGTCTTCTTTGTAGGTACAATATAATTATGGTCTCATTTTTTATAATTGGTTGCCCTTCATTTATTTTACATGGAACTTCTTTAAATTGGATGGTTATTATATAATAAAACGATAGGCTCTCAAAAGTTAGTTTTCAATGTAATATTTTCCCACTACTAACTGCTTTGATATAAGTCAGATTGTTTAGGATATGGCACTGATTATACAACTATCATTTACAATTCACAAATATATGTGAATGTAATAGTTGCCTTGTTATAGCCAGCATGAGATTATAAACCCTCAAAAATGCTCACGTAAACAATTTCAAGACACTAGCACTGTTTTTGCCGACATATAACCCACTGCATGATCTAGTATAGAGATTTGTATGGGTGCTTGGGTTGAAGTTATTTTCATATAGATTTCATTAAGGAGCAAGGATATTTAATTGTTTTAAGTAGAATTAAGTGAAGGTATTAAGGGATATGTTTACATTTAATATTAGAATTTTATTATTTGCATCACTCGTTATGTTGGAGAGTGACTTTGTGTTCAGTTTAAAGATATTAATTAAGTAAATGGTATTTATTTTACTTATAATTAAGTTATAAACATTTTTTCCTCATCTTTGTTTCAATTTAGGTATTGTTGTAATATATTTAAGTGTATCTATGCCTCATTGTCATTTCTCTGGCCGTAATGTTCTTCCCTTGATAATTCTCTGATTGCAATTATTATGTTACCTGACAGCTACTGAACACTGAGGAAATACTGGTCACATGTCGCGCCGACCTGGAGACCAAGACCCGTCAGTGCCACGCGGCTGAGTCGCAGGTGGAGAAGCTGACAGATGAGATAGGACCACTCAGACAGAGGCTGACTGTACTGGAGGCCGACAAGTGAGTAGGTCCCAGTAGTTTAAATATGTCTGCTACAACAATGGGTTAAAAAGACAAGTTAATTTTTATGTGAAAATTATTTTTAAAAAAAACAAATCTAGTTTTTTTTTTGTTTTTTTTTTTTATTTTAAGCATTGGTTTTAATTTTGTAAGCCCTTAAATTAAACAGCATTAGATTAAACCCAATGATATTAATGTGTTTTAATTTGTATACGCATCAGGCCGCAATATATTTATTTTTTTAATTGAAAGTAGAACCTCACGTGTGTTTAAATTGAATTACTATTAATATTTTCTTTTAGTTTGAAATTAAAGGAAGAAAATGGAGAAAGAGCTGAGCTAGTGATCTCCCTTAGCAAGGACAAGTCTGCTTTTGAAAAAAGGCTGGATGAGTTAAATAAAGAAATGCTGGAGGTAGCCCATATTTTAAGAGGCTAAATATTTGATGTCAGATTTTTAAGAATTTTATTTTACCTTGATGCTGAATACTTTCTAACAGATTTTTAAAACAAGAAATATTTCACAAATGTTTTTTAACCATTTCCTAATAATTTTTTTTAAATTAATAGAAAGACACTCAAGTATCAAAACTGCAGGAACAGTTGTCTGACTTGGATGGGGAATACAAAACTTTGATCAGGAACTCAGATCTGCAGAGAAATAAGGTTAATTTTTTTAGAAAAACTTTGTTATAGGTCAAAGCTTAAGTTTAACAATTTAAAAATAAATTATATATTTTTTTAATAAGATGTGGTGATGTTTGACATTAACAAATAAAAACATAAGTTGTTGAAAAGAATTTATTCTACTATAAGCATTTTTAAAATATACAAATTATGTTTGTTTAAAAAGTGTATGGGCATGATTTTCTAATAAATTAGATTTGGGGTATATCATTAATTGTGTTCACCATTAACACTATGAAATTTGCTGTCATAATTGTCTGAATATATTCATGATGAGGCCTTAGCACTTTCTCATGCTGTTCCCCCTGTCACAGACAAGCAAAATGGTCCAAGAGAAAGACGACCAGATTGACACGCTCCAGGAGAGAGTGAAACTTCTGGAACAGAGGATCTCGGACTCCGGCCTATCTGGAGATGACCGCCTGACAGCACTGAGTGCTGAGAGGGACTCCATGGAGCAGAAACTTTCAGAGGCCAGGCAGCAGTTAACCGAGGTCAAGTCGACCTGGAGTGATAAAATCAGCCATCTTGAAGACCAGGTAGGCTTGTACATTTAAACTTCTTATTTACTGTCACGTTACTTACATACAGTGTAATTTGTTCTGATCATTTCTTCTACAAACAACTGTTCCCTATTACATACTGTGTTTAATGCAGTATTTATTATAGAAATCTCATAAATTGTTTTTGGGTCTCATTTAAACAGATGTAACTTGTTGATTTTTGCTAAAAGAATCTTAACTTGACTGCCGTTATTTTGTAAACATGAATAGATTGCTGCGTGTGACTTTTTGCTTCTCTTTTAGGATTTATATTAAAATTTGCCATCCAAATTTAAGGGACATAATTTTTTAAAGTATTGTCATGATAAAATGCATACATGTTTCTCATGTAGATCTCTCACCTGAATGCTAAAATTGTTGAGGATAGTGAAGAGCTAACTAACTACCAAAAGATGACGGAACAAATCAAGACGAGCTTCCATAAACAGGTAACACATACTTTAGCTGAAATTATATAAATATGGCTCATTTTGGCTTGTGAGGCAAAATTATTTTATTTTAATAAAAAAAATTTGAGTCGCACTTATATTTCATTGTGTTATTTTGTTTTTATCACTTATATTTTCACAATATTTTTGGAAGTTAATGATAGTTAAAATGAAATTTTATTTACTTGTATTTTAATTTTGTCATCTGTAGGTTGAAGATTTACGTTCTAAACTTGAAGAGGCTGAAAATCGAGCGTTGGAGAATCTTGAACTTGCCTCATCAAAAGCTAGCCATTATGAGAAACAGGTGGGTCATACTTCAGTAATTTTAGTTTTAATTAGTGGTGCTTATTTACTCAACAGTGGGGTTTTTTTTAATGTTTCTGTTTAAAAATTTTTAGTAAATCTTTAGTAAAGATTATAAAGGATATTCATTTTAACTTTTATAGGATTAAATTATTATTCTATTTTGTATTTACTTGATTTACCTGTTAATTTTTATATTTTTTCCTGTTAAACAGATTGTAGAACTTGAAATGGAATCAGCCAAACAGAAGCAAGGAGCTGAAGAAAATGAGAACTTGTTGCGAGCAAAAATTGGAAGCCTTGAATCCCTTGTGTCAGAGTTGGAAGCTGCTAAACAAAAACTTCAGGAAGAGATGAACTCTAAAATTGTAAGTGGCGTAACTCTATTTTTTAAAATTTTTTCTTATTTTAACACTTTAAAAAATGGTTTTCTTTATCACGCCAATTAGGTTGAATTAAAGTATGTTGTAATTTCATTACAAATTTTATCAGTGCTTTTTAAAATACATTTTAAGGCACATTATGAAGAAAAAATTGCATCCCAATCAGCCACAGAAGCAGCTCTGCAATCTGAAATCAATCAGCTGAAAGAGGAAGTAGACAAGTTGATGGTAAATTTATGTGTTGTATTTAGAAAACTAAAAATTAATTAGATCTAGAACTAGTTAAAATTATGCTTTGTATAGAAATTTATTAGTTAAACCTTGCAACTATATTGTCTTAAAATATGTGCTATTCTGTAACGGTTGATCAAAATACTAATGCCCCCATATTCTGACTATACTATTTGTCTTTGTGTTACTCACAATTTGATCAAAGTGAATTAATTATATACTTTCTTCACACTCAAATATTTATAAAGGGAAGCTATATATGTTTTTTGTTTAAAGCATGACAACTGATTTGATTGGTTGACTGCTGACACTGTTTTGCAAAGTGTGTTGCCAAAAATATATATACCATATTTGGAGTACACTTTCTTTTACTAGGCTGTTATAAGTGGAAAGGATAGTGAAATACAAAGTCTACAGAAACAACAGGCAGAAACGGAAACAACTGCCGCTGAACAGAATAATGTTGTGAGTAAATTTAGCAACAGTGAATGCTGGGAATATTTATTTTAAGGAACATCAACTTTTTCTATTACAAATGCAATCAGTTATTATGAAACTTACATGATTTTATTTTTGGCAGATTTCATCCTTAAAACAACAGCTTGTTGATAAAGAACATGAACTGAAGCAAGTTGAGAAGAATAAAGAAGATCTAGAACAAAACTGGCAGGCTGCTGAAAATGGTATGGCCAGATTTTTAAGTTGTAACATTTTAAATTAATATAAATTTAGACATAGTTTCTACATATTATATTAAAATGTTTTTACCGCATAAAAATATAGTAATTTAGTAATTTATATATTACATAAAAATATTTCCTAAATAAAATTGTAACTTTGTTAAACCTCACTATTTTCATAGCTAAAGGAGATTTGCTGGATAGAAATGCAGAGCTTCACAAACAAATACATTCAATAAAATCAAGCAGCAGTGACACAATTCTGGAGCTGGAGAGAAGCTTAGAGCTGAAGTCAAAAGCCATGGAATCCATGGAGAAATCTGAGAGAAGTCTTAGACAGAGGTTGGAAGCATTAGAAAAACAGGTTAGGAACTTGATTCTTTAGTTGCATATTTTACAGAAAATAAAAAAGAAAACAATTCCATGTGATGTGGTCACTTTTCTAGTTATTTGTTAACTATACATGATGGAATTACCAGTGCAAGTTTGGGAAAAATTCCTTAACTCTTTAAGACCTGAGAAATGTTCTCAGCATTTAGTTTTTTGTCCCATACTTTAATTATGCTCACCTAGCTGGATGATGTTTTCTCTATTTACTCCATTGATTTTCCTAATACAATTTTGTAATCATCTATCTAGGTCATGATATTGGTAGATCAGCCATTTACAGTGGTGTCGATACCAGAATTGATTTTTAGATTTGCTGTTTTTTTTTTAAATTAAAAGTATTTACAAAAACATCAGCATCTAAGCATTGTTAAAGATTTATCAAATTTTTAAAAGAATTTGATCTCAGGTCCTTAATGTAGCAATTCAGCTCTTAGCTTTCGGCATTTTAAAAATTTAGAATTTTATAAAATTGACCACTTTTACAATGAAATAATTTTCTTTATGCAACAGTAAGCTTTGTCACAAATAAAAAAATCGATTGTGTACTCTAAAATATGGTCTTTCCTAAAAAAAAATATTTTATAACAAGATGTAAAAAAATTCACGAGCACTACTTAATGCAACAATTAATTTTTAAATTTCTCCACAGATTGAACTGAATGAAATAATGAAAGCAGAGTCTGGTCTTTACTCAAACAGAATTGAAGAAATGAATGACACCATTGCGTCTTTACAATCACAACTAGCTGAGAAAAACCGGGTATGGGTCAATATCATCTTCCATTTTATAGTCTTAATTTAAACCTTGTTTAGTTATAAAGTTATAAATTGCTTTATTTTTAAAAGCTTTTACTTAAGTTGCCTGTTTGTCTGTGGTTTTGTGTACAAATCTTGTAATTCAGTTTGACCCTTATCTTTAAAACTTTCTAGATTTCCAATAATTACTTAAGAATATATTATTTTCAGTCTAAATAGATATTAAATTAGTCATTATAACAATTCAAAGTTAACTGTTTTCAGTGTCAAACCTGGTGATAACTAGGTAGTAGTGGTCACTCACTTAGCCAGGTGACTTGATGTTCATGACATAGGGTTAAACATGTTTTATTGAACCCTTATGTTGAGTGATTTGTAAGGGAATATTACCAATATGAAGTTGAATAAGGACTTTTTTAGTCATAAGCGTCGGCTGGGAAATAATAATTATAGCAATTGTTTATACAACTTACTTAAGTATCAACTAAGTTAAATCTTTATATTTAAATACTGAAAAGTATAAATTAAAGCGGTATAAAAAAAAACCTTTTAAATAACAAGCTTTAAAATGCTTTAACAATATACTTTGTTTGTTTAAATTAACCATTTTCATAATCTTTTCTATGGTTCAGTAATCTAATGAATACAATCTTTTTGTTTTATTATCATTGTTTTTATATTATTCCTTTAAGAAAAGATTTTGTTTTTAACTTTATATATTTTGTGTACAACTTTCAGACAGTAAAAAAGCAGGAGCAAACGTTAAAAGACTTGCGAACGACTCTCCAGCGTGAATTCAAAGTCCAGTCATTGCCTAACGACGAGGGGCTGGACCAGACAGGCAACAATACTTCATCCACTTCCCCCTCCCTGTCGCGCAGAATAGACAGCTACCAGCAGCAACAGTTCTACCAGCAGAACTCCCACCAACCCAACTCCACCCGCAACAGCTCCTACAACAGCCCGTCTGCCGCTGTGTTAGCAGTTCAGTCTTCGTCAAACACGATGACCCTCACGTCATCATCGTCTTCTGTGCCGTGCGGCGCCACTGATGCGTTAACTGTACACACAACTAATGTGAAGAGAGATTTGGACAAGGATGTGAACTTTTTGTACCTGAAGCATGTGGTCTTAAAATTTATGTTAAGTCGGGAATCTGAGGTATGTTTGTCAATTTTATTTTATTAACTAAAACTGTGTGCCTACAAACAGTAGAGTTCATTGATATGTTGCAAAATTTCATAATTTTAAGTTTAGTATTCTTATGTAAACATCAATATGTCTAGCTGTTTTAGTAGTTCTAGACACTTCCGATTTAATATTACTGGGGTTTTTTATCTTAAAAGGGTAAAGTGGTTTTTAGTTGAATTAAAATATTTAAATTTATTTTAATTTTAAAAACTTCCTTTTAATTCCTTTATAGGCAATACAACTAATTAAAGCTGTTTCTATGCTGCTAAACTTCACTATACAAGAACAGCAACTCATAAAAGACACCTTGGAGTGGAAAATGTCTTGGTTTGGTCACAGACCTCCCCTTGGTAAAGGTCAAACATCAAAGGTCATACCACCAACATTATAGCATTACTTAGCTAGTTTTTATTAAATTAATGTATGTATAGTGTGAAACTTCTATTGCTATCAACCACCAATTGTGAATTTACACAAATAATGGAAGCAAATTGCAACAGGATATTGGTAAATTAGAGTTTGTATTTTAATTTTTAAGTTATTGTTTTACATTAAAATAAATTTTAACTTCTAAATTATGTATGACTTTTTAAAATGCCCTGCAAACTTTTCTGTTTTTTTAAACAGTTTAAAAAGTAAATCCCAATGTGCTATTAGAATCTATTTAATTTATATATTTCATGGCAAGCAAATCTTTGCTCTTGTTTGTTTTTCTGTATTTTTAAAAAAATATTTATTTAAAGACGTCAAAAATGCCAAAACTGTCATGGTTGTGTGGAGGAAGTACAAAGAAATTGTGATAAAATGTATAGAAAACTGTTATAATATTTTTACTGTCACATTACTCATTCAGTTTTTCCAGCAGTTTAAAATCTAGAATTACTTTTACCTTTCTTTCACAATTCTTGGACGATCGTTGAGAGAATTATCTCTAAAAAGTAAAAAGCATTTTGCTTGTACTTAGTTTATTTGTGCATTAAACCACATATTCTATAGAACACAATGATACTAAACCTGTTAAAGCTAAAGTTATTTTAAGAAATATTGTAAAAAAGGTTAAGTGTTTTAAAATTTCCTCAAAAAGTTTTGAAATAAAAATAAATTAATGATTGGAGCATATATTTTCTAATGCTTACTTATCATTAAACTAGTGAATTTTATCTTAACATTTTCTAAAGCCAGTGTAATATTTAACCAGAAAATTACTTTTTTTAAAAATATTCAATATTAATGGGCAATTTTTAAAGGTTTAATTTAGAAATGTGTATCAACTAATTTTATTCAGAAATAATTTAGTTTTTTTTTTCTTTCTAATCATCACCTGAGTACTTTTATTGCATAGATCAATGTAAAATTTCTTTATTTGAATATTCAGAAATCTTTGGAATGATAAAATTACTTTGTACTCACAGGTTGGGATTTTATTTTATATTGTAGGCTAGAATGGCAGTTGTTACTTGAATAAAAAAAAAATTGTAGTGACTATTGACAATAGGCTTGATATTTAAAACATTTATTCCAAGTTTTCCCCTTCTGAATAGATTTTAAATAACAGCTTGGAAGAAGTGGCAAATAAAAGTATTTATATATATGAATTAAGTGTTAGTTAAGATATAAATCCATGTATTTGCATTACAATCATTTACAAACAATTTAGAAGAAGGAGCTTGTATATTTTTGTCATTAACACTTCTATAATTTATTATGTCCTTTTAGTTACCTTCTGGTTGTGAAATATTTTCTTTTTTTATTCTGTCAGAATTTACCTTGGGAGTGAAATGTGTTCACAGTCTAGATGCTTTAACAATTAGATCAGGGGTCTCCAAACTACGGCCCGCGGGCCGGATGCGGCCCGCTTGGTCCTCTCATCCGGCCCGCGGAGATCTTTTTGTCCAAGGAAAAATCGTTTGTTGGTGATAGCTGAGGAACTTTGCCCAGAAAAATCAAAGACATGTCTGGAAGAAACTGGCCCCCGAACTGAAAATTTATAGTTAATGTGTCTCTCTGACTGAAAAGTTTGGAGACCCCTGAATTAGATGAATATCATCCAGACTTTTTTCTTCTGTCAATACAATATTTCAGCTGACATTCAAATTTGCTTCACTTGCTCAAAAAAAACTGGCAACCACTATTTTTAGTGCTTTTTTTCTATTGGATTTTCACAGTAAAAAATTATATTCAGTTTTACTTATTAGCATGTGATTGTCATAGTAGCTACACGAAGCTATTACTTTTTTTTATTGATAATCCACTTGAACTGTTGTAAATAAATATTTTGGGTGTTGGTTTTAATTTTTGTTTTGTTAAAAAAAATGATGTTCACTGCTGCTAACTGCCATGCTTTAAGATAATGCAAGACATAAAACCGTGGTTTGTTTCTATCATTAAGTACAATTGTAAACTATTGTCATTAATAAGGAGAACTTTGTTAATTTGTGTAATATGGTATCCTGTACATAATTTTTACGTGGTCAACCTCATATAGCTGTCATGCTTGTGGTGTGGTTATTCATACACTGTGGTCATTTCTTATAGCCTGGTCATTTTTATGGTGGGGGCATGCTTTAAGCCTGGTCATTATTATATTGCCGTCATGCATATTGTCTGGTCTTTCTGATAGCACTGCATACACTTTGTTACTTGTGTGGGCAAATGCTCCTAACACTGCATTTACACTTGCGACTTGTATATCATGCATGTCTAGAATAAAAACTCACAACAAGTAAGTAGGCCTATACATTTTTCATAGGGAAAAATGTTTTTATTAACACTAACTTGTGAGTTATTTTTTTCTAGACATGTATAGTATAGATAAAAAAAAAATAAACACTCTGATTGATAAATGTGGTGGTAATGTAGTGTAGTATTAACAAGTCTAACCCTGGTGGGTTTTGTGAATATACAGTGGGGTCATTTCTGTTTACAAAATGTGCACAAAGATTCTAGTCATGTGATCTATTGATAATTATTTTTTTTCATTACATGGTGATAATTCTATTTTATATCGGTAATGCACCTACTTTTTGAAATTAAAGAAAAACATTTTTCTTTATATGGTAATTTTACAAATTAACATAACAGTTACATTCAATGAAAATTAATTTGGATACATTTAATTTTTTTAGTTGGGTAGAGACTAGCCAAATTTCTTTATTGCATTTTACTTTTGCTAATTTTAAGCTAAAATTAATATTAAAATTATAGTTAGAATGCACAAGTATAACTTCCTATAACTTTTAAAATTTCTTGGACTATATTCTGTACCTGTGTCTAACCCTAGACTTTGAATAAAAAAGGTGGGCTATAAGCAATTTTATTGAGTTCTAAAGACATGTCCATCACATTTAGACATTATCACTGCTAGTGTTTGTAAAATCTTGAACAGTTTCAAAACAGTATACCATTAATGTTTTAAAAGTTCTTATAAATTTTAATTTTTATAAATTTATGTTTTAAAAATTATTATTTCATTAATGGTTTTGTTTTATTCTTTATGCGCAGTCAGATATATCTTTAATTTTTTGTGCGTGATCTCTTCTACCTATTAATATTAAGCTTAAGTTTTGTTCTAAATTTTTAAAAGTAAAATATTTAATCACTTTCAGACCTTTTTGAATTTTTTTTTATTTACATTAATTGGTTTGCCTCTTGAAGTTTCCCATCATCTATACATTGTAAATGGTTGATTATAATTGTAAATAATTAATGGGTGATGATTTACATGATTTAATGACAATGTTGCAATATATATCACAATTAAACGATGAAAAAAATACAATTGTCTTTATTAAATGAGCACAAAAAGCCCTTTGAGTGTTGTTTTTTTAAATTTATTTATGTATGTTGATACTAATTGTAAATAGTTTACCTGGCAGGATAGACATATTGCAAAAGTGACCCATTGGGACTCAAAGCTAAGAAACTGTACCATCTAAACTTAATTCTAAAGCCCTTCTACACCAAAGGAAACAGCAACTGCTGGTTACATACATTTTCACCACTAGTTATATTGAGTTCTGGCCCCTTGATTTTAGCATGCTAGTTCTTCTCTTTGATTTACATTTTACCAGTAGGGCCTAAAGGATTTAATTCTAATTAAATAAACAATACTATATATATATATATATATATATATATATATATATATATATATATATATATATATGAGGGGGGGTGCAAATCGAAAAGTTTGTCCCCGGGCGCCGGGAAGGGGCGCTACGCTCTGGACAGGTGGTAATTATACGTACGTGTGTGAAAGTTAGAAATTTTGAAAAAAAAATTGAAGCTTGTGATGCAAACATTGAAACTTAAGTTTTTATAGTGAAAACAAACAATTAGGCGGTAAATTTGGGGCTGCAGCCCTATCAGCCCCCCCCCCCCCCCCCCCTTAATCCGCCACTAGTTGCCAGGAACCTTCTGGTCACGATGTACATCAGAGTGAGCCAAATAGAAAGGTGGTAGCAGAAGTAAAAAAAAAACACTTGGGCACTCTTTTATCCATCCATCAACATTAAAAATTTATTCAACCACCACCGCAAAGTTAATATTTTGCATACCTTGTGTATTAAGACTAGATCTACAATTTGTATAAAAACGATCATTTATTCGGTAGAAATATTTTAGTAACAAAGAGTTAAGTTTCAAGTACAAGGGAGGCTACTCTATATATTTAAACACAATTTTAAAAACTAGTTTTGTTTAGACTTTAACCCAGCTCATTCTACAGCCCAGTTTAGTTTGCTACTCTCGTTCTGGGTAAAAAGTAACATAGCAACATGGCTGCTCTAATGAAAAAGGTAATGATTATTAGATCTACTTTTTAGGGTAAACTTTTATGATAAAAGTTATCGAATTGCATGTTCCTTTTACTTTACAGTAAATCTAAAACTTTGTTTTGACTCTAGATCTAGATCTAGCTGACCTGGGTTGAAGGGAAAGAACTCGGGGGGGGGGGGGGGGGGGGGTGTTAGAATAACAGTTTAGACTTAGAGTTTAGAATGCTTATTAATATGAGGTTTAAAATTGATAGTTTAGAATCTAGATTACTTCAAAAGTACAGAATCATCTTGTTTTGTAAAGATTCTAGAATCTGACTAGACTTAGATCTAGATCTAGATCCTAGGTCTAGCTGCTAGCTAGAGTCTAGCTAGTCTAGACTAGATCAAACAAAGTACTTTGGACTCTGCACCCAGGTGTAAATTAATTTGTATTTAAGCAGCATTTAAGAAGAAAAATTGCTGATCTGTGGGGAGGGGAAAGGGAGAATATGTAGGTGTAATAAGTACTAATAAGTGTAATGAATGTAGGCCCTAATAATTTTTATTTTGTATAGGGGCCTATTTTTAATAACTTTAATAATTAATTAGTTAAATTCAGGCATGTCTAGATAAAAATTATTAGGCCCTTCTTGTAATTATTAGTATTTCTAGCATTTTTACAGAAAATGCTTTTGAGGTAGATTATGAATACAACGGAGACAGAAGCCATGAGCATGTAAATAGCTTTATTTGTTAACCGGAAAGAGGACGGAAGTGGCGAGAGAGAACTATTTATAGATAACAACATGTAAGGGACATCACTCAAGATAACAATATAAATATAATACTAATACAGAGAGTGAGTTCCCTTGACCTCACAATTAACTCAATCCATTACATCCCTTTACCCTTAGAACACAATAACACATCTCTCAATAGAACAATTGATAGTATCCTAAAATCACCAATTATATTGTAACATGAACACTATGGTAGATTACATCCTTACAAACAATGCACAATATGCCACAACATAATCAAAATACAAAACAATGATGTCAAAGTCCTTTTGACCTTTAAAATCATAGGTCTAACTTATTTGGGACCTTGATTGTCCTGCTTGACCTTCTCAGTGGCTTCTGATTTGGTGACTCAAGATTCTGACCATCTGGATTCTCTATCTCAGGAGGTCTAGGATTTAAATTATTAACTCCAGAATTTACATTTTCTGACTCCAGACAACTTGGTTCACTCATATCAACAGAACTTGGTTGTGGAACAAACTGAGTTGGTGTGAACTGATCAGGTTTGGTGGGATTGACAGATTCACACTTATTATCTGCACAAGTTATTTTTAACTTTATAAGACACAGGTCCTGTACATTGAACAATTTGACCTGGTATCCATTTTTCCTTTCTCCCATAATTTCTTAGATACACATTCTTATTAACACCAAATTCTCTTTCAATGAATGTCTTGTCATGATTTAATGGAACTATTTTTGAATTGGCATCTGAAAGTATTAAATGGCAAAAATCTTTTTTCTTTTCTTTTGATGTTACCCTTTTAGTTTCTGTAAGTGCTAATGATGTTAGCAAAGTTGTTTGATGATCACATTCCTTCTTACTAATGTATTTGAAATTGCCATATCACCATAATCATTTATTAAGTTACAAATACTTTGTTTAGGCAACTCTGACTGATAATGGACTGCATCTTCTCCATCTTTTATATTATCTTCACAAAGGTTTTTATTTCTTATTTAATATGGCCTTAAGTCATCATTCACAGACTCTTCAGGCCAACCATTCTTACAGTAATCAGATACTTTTATTAAGCACTCATCTTTTTGTGTTTCTCTTTTAATATCATTCACATCTATATTGGAGTTATCCATGATAGTGAAGAGAACAAATACATCTTCTGGTACATAGCTCAGGCTTTGGTTTTTTTTTTTAAAGGTAATCTACTAAGACTATCTGCACTATTCTCAGATCCAGGTTTGTATTTCAATTCATAATTGTATGCAGTTAGTGTGATAGCCCATCTTTGAATTCTTGGTGAGGCATGCTCAGGTAGGGTTTTGTTTTCTCCAAATAAACCTAGCAATGGTTTATGATCTGTAAAGATGGTGAACTTCCTACCAAACAGAAACTTATGAAATTTCTTAACACCAAAAATGATGCCTAAGCCTTCCCTATCTAACTGAGAATAATTTTTCTCAGCCTGGTTCAAAGATCTACTGGCAAAAGCAATGGGTCTGTCACCCTTCTCATCCATATGGGACAAGACTGCTCCTACACCATCTGGTGAAGCATCACATGTTAATATAAGTCTTTTCCCTGGGTCATAGTGAGTTAGTAAGGTGTCAGCAGACAAAGCCTCTTTTGCTGTGTTAAAAGCAGCTTCTTGTTGTTTACCCCAGTGCCAAGTTGCATTTTTCTGTAGCAGCTTGTACAGTGGTGATAGTTTACCAGACAGATTCCCTATGAACCTTGCATAGTAATTTATCAAGCCCAAAAAAGCTCTTAGTTGTTGGGTATTTTCAGGTTTGGGTGCTTCTTTAATGGCTTTTGTTTTCTCAGGTTGAGGTCTGATGCCTTGCTTGCTTAATATATAACCAAGAAAACTAATTTCTGTCAACATGAATTGACATTTATCTTTGTTTATCTTTAAACCTTTTTCACCAACAATTTTTAATACTTTATCTAGTGTTTTAAGATGTTCAGTGTCATTCTTACCAGTTATGTATACATTGTCAAAATAAACACAAACATTTGGAATGTCCTTAAAAATACTGTCCATGACAGCTTGGAAAATTCCAGGGCTAGATGATATGCCAAAACATAGTCTTTCATATTGGTAGAGTCCTTTATGTGTGTTTATTGTCGTATAGACTTTTGAATCTGGATGCAGTTCTAGTTGAGTGTAAGCATGACTAAAGTCTAATTCAGTGAATTTGTCTCCTCCTGCCAAATTCAAAGAAATTTCCTCAATGTTAGGAATAGGGTACCTATTTAGCTCTATTTGCTTATTCAGTGTAGTTTTATAATCTCCACAAATTCTTATAGAACCATCCTTCTTTAACACTGGCACAATGGGTGTCGCCCAATCGGAATAGTCTACCTTCTTTATAATGCCATTAGATTCCAATCTACTTAGCTCATTTTCAATTTTATTCCTCATTGCATAAGGTGGAACTCTAGCTTTGCAGTATCTTGGATTTGTATCTTTAATGCTTAACTTCACTGTTCTATCATTTAGTAAACCTGAATTACCAAAAACACATTTATTTTCAGATATAACTTTATCTAGTGAAGTAAGACTAGATTCTTTTACATTCTTCAATGAACAAATACTCTCCCAATTTAACTTAAGATCACTTAACCAGTTCCTACCTAGTAATGGCGGTCCATTTCCTTCAACCACAAGAAGAGGAAGTTTAACACTTTGACCATTATAACTTACATGAACCATACACTCTCCTATTACCGGAACATTGTCACCAGTGTATGTTGTTAGACACTTGTGACATGGCTGTAGAGGCACTGATCCTCCTGTGACAGCGTCAAAATCTTTCTTTGTTATGACTGTTAGAGATGCTCCAGTGTCAAGTTGGAAGCTGATGCTCTTACCGTTGATATTAACTGGTACATTGATGGGAGCATGACTTATTGATTTCACAGAGAACAGGTTGAAATCCGGCTGCGAATCAGTTTGAGCATTTTCACAGGTAGAGTGGTTCATTGGTTGGGTTAGGTAGTCTTGGTGAGAGTTAACATAGTGCTGCCTTTGGTTGCGGTACTGTCTTGACTGGCTAGATTTAGCAACAGACGAAGACTTTGCAAAGCAGGCCTTGGCAATGTGACCTTGCTTACTGCACTTATAACAAGTTGCTAACTTGAACTTGCACCGATGAGATGCATGGGGACCTTTGCATCGATGACATTTTTGATAATTATTACTAGATTTAGATCTAGGATTTGAACGAGCAGGCTGTTTAGCATAAGTTGGAATGCTCTGATGGGGTTGATGTTTATTGACTAACCTGCTGTTTACTGCATGGATCCCTGAAGGCGTTAGAGATTTCGCCGCATCTGATGACTGCTGGATTGACATTGCAAGTTGTATTGCTTTTTCCAATTTTAGATCTGACTCGAGCAGCAACTTTCTTTGAATATCAGGGCTGTTTACACCTGTCACAAACTTTTCACATAATCTGTCAGACAGCGTTTCTCCGAATTCACAAAATTCACTTAAATGACGTAAAGCAGCAACATATTCTGATATTGACTCGTTTGGTTGACGAGTCCTACCGTCAAATCTAGCTCGACATAGAAACTTTGATGGCACAGGCGCATGGTGGTCTGTTAGCAATTTGCTCAGCTCGTTAAAGCTCTTGGTAGTTAGACTAGCTGGTGCGCATAAGTCTTTTAGTAGCCTAAATTGTTGAGGCCCTATGACTGTTAACAAAATAGCTCTCTTTTTGGCTTCTATCGTCACGTTGTTTGCTTCTAGGTAAAAGCTTAACCTCTCTAGGTAATCTTGAATGATTTCATCATTCGCATCAAATTCTTTTATTTGGCCATACAGCGCCATAATTCTAGAAATAATTAGCTAATAAGCTCTAGCAAACCTCTTTTTTGCGTAAGTAGGTGCTCTTTCTAGTAGATGTTTATCCTTCGTCGCCAAATGAGGTAGATTATGAATACAACGGAGACAGAAGCCATGAGCATGTAAATAGCTTTATTTGTTAACCGGAAAGAGGACGGAAGTGGCGAGAGAGAACTATTTATAGATAACAACATGTAAGGGACATCACTCAAGATAACAATATAAATATAATACTAATACAGAGAGTGAGTTCCCTTGACCTCACAATTAACTCAATCCATTACAGCTTTACTAAAAAGTTTTTTTTTTGCTAGTATCATATCAGTATCTAGATCTAGGTCCTAATGCTAAACTCGCCCGAACCGAGATGCTGGCTCTGGCCTCAACTTAGAAGTACTTAATTATATTCATCATGTTACCCATATTTTTCTGGAGTAAGGGGTTGTCCATAAATAACATCACACTCGTAGGGGGAAGGGGGGGGAGGTAAAAATTGTCCAAAAAAAAGCGTGACGTCATTTATGGATGACCCCTAAGGTACATTTTCACTTGCCCTATGAAAAATATAGTTTAGTTAGAATCTGGGTTAAGGCAGCAGAGTGTCCACCCAGCTCTGAAGGGTACCTAACTCACAGTGAAAGTAAATGTGGCTGGGTACAGGGCTTCATATGCCTAGTTTACAGAAACAGGTGAACTCTTTCTCACTTGACCCATGGACTTTCAGGTTTGAAATGGGAACTTTACTAATTACTATGAATAGTGTAAAGTGTAGACCTATATCGATAATTAATTAAAACATTATTGTCCATCTAGGTCTCTGGCCAGATCAGGCCACTGTTAATGACCACAAGAGCTTTAGGGAACGTAAAGCAAGCTAGTTCTGGAATCTCTTTTGGTAGGTTTTTCTAAACGTGGATCATGTATTTACTGTAAAATGACAAATAGGACATTGTGTAACATATAAACTAATATAAACATAAAGACTAATATTCCTAGGAACATGTCGCTCCACAACAAAACACAACTCTTTTAGTTAGTACCTAAAAATGTTTTTATTAAGATAAATTTTAGGAATCAAATTTTCGATTAGAAAGAATTGTTATCTAAATCCTAAAAATGCTTTACAAAATCATGAAATTAGTGTCTCATCTGTTCCAAAAAGGTGGAATTGAAATATCAAACCATTCCAATATACCTCCAAACAACATGATATGACAACAACCTAATATAATATGACATTATGGCTAATGACCCCACCCCATCACATATTTTTAATGCGCACAAACCCAAAGGGACATAAAAATTTATGGACATGTTACCCTTACATATTAGTAGTTGAGACAAAATTTTAAAAATCTTAATTTATTTTTTTAGATTGAAAAATATTTTTACTAATTATGTGACTTATTTATTTCCATAGAGTTATCCCCTGAAGTTCAAGAGATAAAAAACACAGCCCGGAAATTCGCAAGAGAGGAGATCATTCCCAAAGCAGCTGAGTATGACAGAACAGGGGAAGTAAGTATCTTCTTGCTTTTAACTCAGTAATCCTTCTTGTTCAAGGAACAATTGTTTGGAACTTTTTAGATCATCACCAACTTTACTAAAGGTAGCTGATATACAATGTCAGTCTTCTTAATTTTAAAACTTGAAATCAAGCTATTGAAGCTTAACAAATTTGGTTTTAACTATTCTGTTTAAGTAAATGAAATGTATGAGTAAGTTAGTTTTTAAAAATTCCTGATAAATGATTTTGTATATTAAAAAAAACACATTTGTAACAGTTAAAAGATCATATTCATAAAATCAGTTTTGCTCTTCATTTGCAGTATCCTTGGGACCTTGTAAAGAAGGCGTGGTCACTAGGTTTAATGAATACACATATACCAGCACACTGTGGTGAGTTTCTGTTTACAGTTTAATGTTTTCATAGTTTTATTAAAGTTTTATAGTTTACTGTCTTCAAAGGTTCATTAAAGTTTTACGTTTTACTATATTCATTGTTTCTTTAAATTTTTATAGTTTACTTTGTTTTTAGTTCTATTAAGGTGTTCAAAGTTTCATCTTAGTTTTATTATATAGATTTATGTCATGTTCATAGTTGCATTAAATATATTTTTCAACCTGGTCATATTTCCTTTAAAGTTTTAAACTTTTCTCTGTTCATATGTTTATTAAAGTTACATTACTTATTGTTATTCTTCAAACATATTTAAATTTTTGCTTAGTAGTTTTTTTCATTGAAGTTACATAGTTTATTGTTCTCCTTCTTTAAATGTGGTTTTTTTTTTTTTGACTGAATTTAGTTTTGTTCCTTCTATAACCACTTCAGGTGGCTTGAACCTTGGACTCTTTGAATGTGTAACAATAACAGAAGAATTAGCTTACGGCTGTGCTGGGGTTCAGACTGCTATGGAAGCTAATTCCCTTGGTGTGAGTGTAGTGTAACATTTTAACCACAATATTCTGGGTGTTAAGTAACCAATCTCTGGGTATTGAAATTATTTTATTTGTGTATTACATATTTAAAGATTTTCCTTTTTTTTTTTGTTTTTTTTTAGCTAATGTTTAAGTATTACTATTTGTGTATTGCATATTCAAATATATTCTGTTTTATTTTAGCAAATGCCAGTGATTATAGCAGGCAATGAAGCTCAGCAGAAAAAATATCTGGGAAGGTTAATAGAAGAGCCTTTAATGTGTGTAAGTTGAGCTAACAGTAAGATTATTCTAGCTAAAGCTTGTATTCTGTCATTTAAAATTTTAAAATGGATTTTGGCTTTATTTTGTTTACCAAATCTTAAATTCATGCTTTTAACACATTAAGTCATATGTTATAAAATGTAGAGTCAGAAATTATAAAAAGAACATTCAATGCTGTTTCAATTAATTAAAACATATATTTCAATTTCTTATTTATTGTTTTTTAAGCAAAAGTTTAAAAAACTGATATTTAGTTTGCCTTTCTGGATTCCTCATACTTTGGTACTATTGAAATTTAAAAAAAAAAATGTTGCCAGATATTTGTTACAAAACTATGTTAAAATGTTTTATTTTACCTGATGTGTTTACGTCTAGGCCTACGGTGTGACAGAGCCTGGGGCGGGGTCTGACGTAGCAGGCATTAGGACCAGGGCAGAAAAGAAGGGAGACCACTATGTTTTAAATGGGCAGAAAATGTGGATCACCAATGGAGGTGTGGCCAACTGGTTTTTTGTCCTGGCCAGGACAAGTGCTGACCCCCAGACGTCTGCAGGGAAAGCTTTCACAGGATTTATTGTTGAGGCAAACACACCCGGCGTTACCATAGGAAGAAAGGTAATTTTTAACTGTCTGTAATTTTAAACTGTTGGTAATTGTCTCCATGTTCAGCATTAATTTATAATTCCTTAAGGATTAAATTAAATTTTGTTTTTATGTTCAGCATTAATTTATAATACCTTAAGCATTTAATTAAATTTTGCTAGTTAGTGACTTTAATTATTTGTAGAATGTAATGTTATAAAATGTAGTATTTTGGTGTATCTATATAGGTTTGATTTTTTTAATTTTCACAAAGTTTAGTCATGTTTATTTTTCAAGGGCACTAACTTCATTCTTGAATTGTTTTTCTTTTTGTTACCTTTTATTAGATTTATTTGCAAAAAAATTGTTTTAGTTGTTTTTTGGAATACTTTTTGTGTCCATTTTTGTCTGTTTTAATTTATATTCTATGATAAAATCTTAAATTATTATTGAATTGATACATTGCTCACATTTACAATACATGCAGCACTGTATTAAAAGACGCAAGTTAATTATGATAATGTAAAATAACCATTATAAAAAGAATTGAAATACATAATAATTTACCTTTGTGAAATAGAATACCAACACATTTAACCAAGCTAACATTATGTTTGCCTATTGATAAAGTTATTATTTTGTATAGAAAATATTTATTTTACATTCAGTTAGTTACTGTAAAATTAAAAATTTAACTAGGAAATCAACATGGGACAGAGGTGTTCTGATACAAGGGGAATCACCTTTGAAGATGTACTGGTCCCTAAAGAGGTGAGCAATTTTGTACCTATCCCCCCCCTCCCCCCCCCCCCCCCAGTTATAATAAGATCTATGTAAAATAGTTTTTATGTTATGTATAGAAACTGCACTTTTCTACAAGCAGCTAGTATGTGTTTCTACTGCCCTACCATTAGATAGATATAGCTTAAGTGTTCAAATAGATTTATGCAGTAATGTACAAACATATGATTGAAACAATACTTTTACCATCTCTTTAATTGCAGAATGTGCTGGGTGCAGAGGGCTATGGTTTTAAGATTGCCATGGGTGCATTTGATAAAACAAGACCCCCAGTAAGTTTTTGTTTTTTTGCTTTGTCCAAATCAAAGAAAATATAGTTTTTTCAAGTTATGTTTTTCATTCCATGTTCCACACTCGCTGTTAATCTTAATTCTCATGTAGTAGTACTATTTTTGTCTACATTAATCTGTATATGCAAGAGTTGCATTAGGCAGGGTTGTCTGCCTTTGCCCCTAATTCTGAGCTGACTTGTTTTCCATATATCATTAAATTTAAATAAAATATAAAAAAATTTCATTTTTATTTTTTAAATTAGAAATTGCAAGGTGGGGTTGAAATTAAAGTAAAAATAAAAACATTTTTGAAGTGATTACTTTGATATTCATATAAGCTGTATGATCAGTTTGTTTATATTTATATTAAAAAGTTTTAGTTATAAATCCAAACATGATAAAATTAATTTATCAACAATGTCCTTGCCAATAATATACATAAAAATGCCTTGGTGGAAGCTTTAAGTATTCTTATAATTAATTTTAGGCCAAATTGTCCTTCAATTCTCAGTTAGTACTAACACTGTCTGCTTATATTATCTTAATACTTTCCACATTATCTACTATAGCTACCAGTTTAGTATAGTGAACTTACTCCAGTGTTTTTTATCTGTTGTGTGGTCAGATCACCATATTTTATTATTGTAAAATGTTAGATTAAGCCATTGCATGTTGAGTCCATGTTTTTAATTTGCTAGTATATCTTGTAGGTGGCTGCAGGTGCTGTAGGTCTGGCACAAAGGGCCCTGGATGAAGCCAAAAATTACTCTATGCAAAGAAAAACCATGGGCAAGCTCATCTGTGAGGTAATTTCAATTTACAAAAAAGCTGTTTCATTAAACGTAGCGTTGAAATCTTTTTAATCTCTCATCAGTGACAACAGAGCTCAAAAATCTTTTGAAAATTAAATTGCTGTTTATTTGATTATTTATTTGATTTGATTATTTCTGTTTAGTTATTTGTGGACCAATTTTAGCCAATATTTAGCCAAATTTTGTTTGTACAATTTATCAGTTCTTTTCTAATAATTTATTATTAATTATAATATTTTGGAGATATTCTATTTCTGCTTTGTGAAATATTACCTCAGCATTTGATAATATCTAGTTACTTCAGTAACTTACTACATTTAGTTACTTCAGTAACTTATTACATTCTTTTATCTTTAGTCTTTTAGCAATTCCTAGACATCAAGTTCAAGACACCACAAAAAAAATGATAAAACAAATTCTTCCTTCCCCCTCCCCACAGATTGGCAATTTTTCTTTTTAAATGCTGCTTAAATACAAATTAATTTACACCCGGATGCAGAGTCCAAAGTACTTTGTTACTTTAGTAACTTATTACCTTTTGTTACTTAAGTAACTTATTACATCTGTTTACCCCACTAGTTAAAAAGATTTCATCTTGCTTGATCTTTTTTTAAAGATTGTTTTTTTCCAAACTAAGAATCCTTTTTTGTTAAGTTAAAAAGTGTTATATCTACTTTTGTTGTATGTTAAAATTTGAAAATGTCTTATCTACTTTAATTGTATGTTTGTATGTATGTACCTTTGTCATATGTTGAAATTTAAAAAAAAAAATCTTTTCTACTTTTGTTGAATATTAAAATTTGAAAAAAAATCAAATGTATCGTTGTCGTATGTTGAAATTTAAAGAATATCTTATTGACTTTTGTTGTATGTTAAAATTTGAAAAATGTCATATCTACTTTGACTGAATATCCAGCATCAAGCCGTGGCATTTATGCTGGCTGACATGGCTATCGGGGTGGAAGCTGCACGTCTGTTGGTCCAGAGGTCAGCCTGGGAGATTGACCAGGGCAGGCGCAACACGTACTTCGCTTCCATAGCCAAGGCTTTTGCTGCTGATGTGGCTAACAAGTGTGCAACTGATGCTGTACAGGTGAGTGGTTGTAGTAGGTGTAGGTGGTTGACAGGTGAGTGGTTGTAGTAGATGTAACTGTGCAACTGATGCTGTACAGGTGAGTAGGTGTAGTAGGTGTAGGTGGTTGACAGGTGAGTGGTTGTAGTAGGTGTAGGTGGTTGGCAGGTGAGTGGTTGTAGTAGGTGATTGGCAGGTGCATGGTTGTAGTAGGTGGTTGTCAGGTGAGTGGTTGTAGTAGGTGTAGGTGGTTGGCAGGTGAGTAGGTGTAGGTGGTTGACAGGTGAGTTGTTGTAGTAGCTGTAGGTGTAATGTTGTAGGTGAGTGTGTAGGTGGTTGACAGGCGAGTGGTTGTACCAAGTGTTGTGTTTTTTGACTGTTGTGTGGTTGCATCAGATGTAATGTTTGGGGGGGGGGGGGGGAATTATTAATACTGGAAACAAAATAATAGAATTTTGTTTTTATAATTTTTTAAAATTTGTGCCTCATAATTAGAAATTCCCTATGAATACCCTGGGTGTCAAATGTGTAGAGATTTGAGATATGAGCAGTTAAACCAAGTTATTTTACAGATTTTCTGAAAGAACTAATGCTCTGATAGTATGCCTATATCTAAATAACAACAATAACAAATAAAATGGCAGCCTTGTATTCTAATTACAGAAAGCAAATATTTTAAGCAATTGAATCTGTTTGATGACTTTATTATAATGTTTAGTAAAGTATGTAAAACCTAGCAAAATATCCATACAACATTTTAACTTTGATGTATTGTATTTGTCTGTTGCAGATATTTGGTGGGGCTGGGTTCAACACTGAATACCCAGTGGAGAAATTGATGAGGGACGCCAAAATTTTCCAGGTAAATTAATTAATTTAAAAAATAAAATCTTCTCTTACATGATTGATTGCAATTAGAATGATACTCTGATATACTGCTTCGAAATGGGACTTTATAAAATTATTATCAGAAGAAATGGTCATGGCTAAACATAGAAAGTTGAGTTTTTTATTAAAATATAATTTAACTCTGAATATATTAATTAAGTTTAATTTCCATTCACAAAGGCTTTTTAAAAAAAAAAAGATTTTTTTTCAATTAGGGCTTTCAAATCAAAGCAAAAAAAAATTAGTTGTAGGCCTATATATAAAAGAATATTTAATTGTAATGACCTACACTAAGCTAAAGTACTCTTTCAGTCCTGATTGTCCATATGGCAGATGAAGTAGAGTTCATCTGTCTCTCTGACCTCCACAATTGTAAAGATATGATTAGCATTTAGCAGTGTTTCCTTTCCCTGACTTGAGAACTTAGTAGACTCAGGATGTCTCTACAGACTTAAGACTGTGAATATAACTATAGACATTGTGATCAGTAATCGCACACCCTATCACTCAGTCATGCCGTCATGTACAAATACAATGTGCTTTAATTACCCCATTAGGTTTTTTTAACAATAATTTGTTACTCTGTATTTTCAGATTTACGAAGGCACTGCTCAAATTCAACGTTTGATTATCTCCCGTGAGCTTCTTACCAACAGCAAGTCATAGCCACAGCAAGACAATTAAAGTCCTATAACTGGCTGTATTTTTAAAAATACAAATGGAGTTATGTCCCTTAACAGGAACTTGGGAAAAACAATTTAACTGAATTTTGATATGCTATTTACATGTTAATGAAATCTGTGATTTAAATTTAACTGGAAATGTTTGAAGTTGTTGTAGAATTAATACAAATTACAATTAATACTACTGTTTAATAAATGTTGATGTTTATTGTTATTTTTGTGCTTAAACTGTGCCGAAAAAAAGATTGCCATTTAAATTATTACATTTTTGTACATTTATTTTCTTCCTATATTCATGTTGATCATGGTTATTGTCATGAAATTTTGAATAAATTATTATACACCAACAGTTGCTCATGTCTATGTGTGTGTGAGTATGTGTGTGTGCATGCCTCTGTGTGTATGTGGTGTTGTCTCTGAAATATGTAAAGATTGCAAGATAACTTTTGTCAAAGTGCTAAAGCTAGAGGTAGCCAAGAAAGATGGAATACAAATTTATTTTCTATATCTCTACCACAGGCTAATTTTTTAAGCGTCAGTAGATCCAAGGGCAGTAACTAACGTTTACTTTTCACAAAACCAAACAAAATGATTCAATTTTGTGTTTTGAAACTACTATTCACGACTCAGCTCACCTAAACTAAAGCATAACAGAAAATGTGTCGAAGATGTGAAGCCACCTTAAGGCAGAATCAAACAAACCGCCTCGCTGATTGGCTCTGTAAAGGTCTCAAACGTCACATGTAAATATCAAAGAGTCAAGGTCACTTTTGTGGTTAACTTAAGAAAGAAAACAACTTAGACAATATTTTAACCAGCAACTGTAATTAATTACTTAGCTCTCCTGATGGTAAATTCAAAATGCCTTCATAAAGTGGTTAATCTTTAGCTTAGCATAGCTCTTACCGTGTATAGATAGTCATCGTATGAATGAGTGATAAAATAATTTAGAGTTTCTCTTTTTAAAATCTAACTTCATTTTTTACCACTAGAACAGAGGCGTAGCGATGGGGTGGGGGGGGGGGAGAGGGGGCAGGGGGTACATATGTCCCCGGGCGCCGACCTTAGGGGGCGCCAAAATGGGTTGTAAAAACAAATTAATATGTCATTTTAGCTGCATTTTTGCATTATAAATCGAAAGTTTGAGGGGGGAGGTGCAAATCGAAAGTTTGAGGGGGGGGGGGAGTGCAAATTGAAAATTTGTCCCCGGGCGCCGGGAAGGGTCGCTACGCCTCTGCATTAGAAATACATTAAACATTTACAATTTTTGGCCACCAGTGCTTATTTTCCACTCCCCACCAACAAACATCCCCCCCACCCCCCTTCTAACCAATCTGGAGATTGAATTAGACAGCCGATCCTACACTATTCTCAACGACACTGTCGTTGAGTGGCTTATCAACAGTGTCGGTATATAATAACGCTATAGATTTTTTCTCATTTGATTCTGTCGTTGAGACTCTAATTATAGTTATAAACTGTAAAAACTAGCTAACGGAATAAAACCATTTCGATTAATTAATCGCTTACAATATTTAATATAAGAAAAATTAAACAACAATTCATTTTACAGAGCTAATAATAATTAATATTATAAAAAATGTATCTTCTGTCTTTAAAATTGAAAATTAAATTATTTTTAGCAATATAAATTAATACAGTGGATTGCTGAATTTAATTGTGATCATAGTTATGATTAATTTTAGAGATTGTATGATTAATTTATACACAATTTAGAATTACAGAATATTGATTATTCGGTACAGAAAACATTAGGGTAGAGATTACTAAACGATATAATATAGGATTATGTAATATAGAATATATTAGTATATTATTATAGAATCTAGGCTATACAACAAGTAATACATGATATGATTGCAAAATAGAAAAAATACATAATATAAAAGCCCATTTTTTAATCGAATTTAAGACTCATTTCGTTTACAATATGTTATTACAAATATAAAATTGCAGAATACGTAATAGCTATTTTTATCGAATTTATACATAGAATGTGCTATATAATCTTAAGAACATGATTATGTAGTGGCGTAGGTACAAGGTGTGCCAAGGGGCTATACCCTCCCCCGATATATATATATATATATATATATATATATATATATATATATATATATATATATATATATATATATATATATACATATACATATTTACTGTACTCAAGTAGTACCCCTAACCAGAGGCGTCACAAGGTTGGGGGGCGGGGCTGAGGACTGCGCAAGGTGGCAAAATTTCGGGGGTGACACCATGGCGAAAAATAGCAAAATATATAGAAGAAGTAAGCATTTTGCCAGTTCAATAAATGACTAATGAGAGTTAACTGTACTAATAACTGACTGCAGATAAAAAAAAAATATACAATTAACTGTGCACGTTTAAAAACTATCACCCAGGGGGGGGGGGTGAGGGGAGATGACACAAACTGCAAAATGTACAGGTAAATACATGCTTGTTGAATTTTTGGATAACAGATTTGCTAAGCGACGACCGGAGAGAGGCTGATACCAAAATCTAATATTTTACGATGAAAACAATGCTTTTTTTCACATGAATTAATAGGTGGATTATGTGCAAAATTTGACGCCATTGGGGAAAATGGGAAGTCACCAAATGTAGCAATAAATATATCGATTCTATATATAGATCCCTATATAGGGTATATATACGTAAAAGTAGATAGCGGTTTAATCCCGTTCATCCGCTCGCCATAAAACTTCAGGGGAGGTTTTTTTTTTTTATTTTAACAGGGCGGCGCTCCTGGAGGGTGCAATTTTTCTCTACACAGTTTGTAAAAAACAAAACGGATGCTGTTTGACATCGTTTATCTGAGTGCCGTTAAACTTTCGAGAGTTAATGAAAACACTCACGAGAAGGTTTCTGCAAAAACAAAAATTAAAATTTATTATGGGCGTTTCCCTGGAGGGTGCGATTTTTGTTAATAAACGGCTTGGCGCCTGAAAATCCAGGGCGGCGATAATAAAACTGCATGGGGGCTAAGGTAAAAAAGCAACAACAGGCGCAGCAGCCGGCGCCCCGGATATTACGTAACCCGAAGCGCCCCGTGCTACCATGTGAACACTATGACGCCTACGTTCGTTTTTTTTTTAAATTTATACACTAAAGACACGATGGGCAACAATAATTTTTGACTATATGGAATCAGGCGCGTCTGCCGGCGCCCCGGCAGGATGCGATTTGGCGCCCTGGGATATCCTAAGGTTGTGTTAAAGAGCACTCTACAATATTGACCCTGTGGCACACGACATTCGATGACAATTCGTTTGACCCGGTGCGCCACTGGCTTCGGGAGGAACACTATGAGTTTTAAAAGAGCGCCCTACAGTAGGGAAATATTTTGTCTACTGCACCACTGGCGTGTGGTCTAGCGCCCCTGTGTGGGTCCCTCATAAACACTATTGCGCCTACGTTCGTTTTAAAGAGTGCGATACATTATGGATACAATGGGCTACTGTGTGCGGTAGAATTTGCGCCTCAACAACTATGATGAAAGCAATATAACACCGGCTTTGATTACATTTAAATTGTTTAGATTTACAAATCAATGTCAAGCGTAAAAAAATACGTGATTGCTAATGTAATTATGGAATCCTCTTAAAATATTGCGTCAGTCTCTCTTCTGAGACCGCAGCAACGCGCGGGACGGGTACGCTGGTTTAATATATATTTCTTCTATATAAATAATTCTCTTCATGGATACCATAGAAAACACCAAGCTGTAAGCGCCCCTAGCAGCCCCCTCTCTTTCTCTCTATCCCTACCACCCCCATCCCTACATGGTCTGGTGAGCTGTGGTTCAAGCTAAATGTTTACAATCGTAGAGTCGGGTTTAGTGACAGCTATTAGGGGCAGATAATTTAGTTTGAAACGATTTTAAACTTAGTGGAGGTAACTCAGAGGGGGCTGCTTTCACGAGGAGGGGGGGTAGGATTTTTGGGAAAGGAGGGTGGGGAGGGGGGGGGGGGTTATCGTCCTTAACGAGCTACTGATAGTGTTTTAAAGCAAATATTTTCAGTGGCAGCATTGGTACTGTCGAATTCACAAATTATGAATTACTGAAAAGTAGAAAATGAAACAACTAAATAGCGGCGTATGATAGCGGCTCGTAAAATATAAAACACAGTGTAAATACCTTTGTTATACCTACGGAAAATAATAATATGTAACATGGATTCCTGAAATTTTGCGCTGCTTTAATTTTTAACGTTGGGATCCTCCATCAACATCCATACTCTCCTTTAGTATGTTCAGGCTTTTTTTTCATTTATGGGAAAGGACGATCGGAAAGTGTGACGACACATTTTTGCTTTCATCCGTTATTTCGGGCTTTAAAAGATTGCTTTTGGTATTAATTCATTTATTAACTCAATGTTTATCGAGGTCAGTACATATTATAATAAACCGGGAGTGATCTCCCCTAAACTTTCTCGAATATTCTAATATAACACTACGGGGAATGGCAACTCGGGATATAGACATGATTTTTAATCCATTTTAAATACTTAAACTTTTTAAAATAGAATAAAACCTCGTAGAAAAAAGAATTGCACACCAAGTGAACGTCAAATAAAGATGTGCATAATAGTGCGCAACATTATTAGTACTTTCTAAATTTACGTGCGTTTTTTGAGAAATCGGAAATAGCGTAAATTAGTACTTCCTGTCAACGGAAATTACTCAAAATTGGACAGAAGGTAGAGAATTAGATCTTTTACTTACATGTGAAATTTCATTTATCTATCTGAAATAGTACTCAAGGTATAGGCTTTCGAAAAATTCAAAGTAGAAAAAGTACCACTTTCGGTTATCGGAAATCACTCAAAAGTTTATACGGATCTACGATTTTGATAAAATACTTATATATGAAATTTCATCAACCTAGCTGTAACGGTACTCAAGTAATCGTGTTTACACACAGACACACACACAGACATACGGACAAGATTGCAAAATTATGTTTTTCCGTATCAGTGAGGTGTAAAACGTCGAGATTTGTAAAAAATCTCGATTTTTTTTTTTGCACGATTACAAGACTTTCTCTATACTTCGTATATACGAGAAAGTAAAAATGCAGTTTCAGGGGAACGGCGGAGGGGGTTATGTGTTGAGGTGTGGTGTTTTTAAAGAGAGTGGTGGGGGGGGGGGGAAGCGATCAAGATCTGGCTTTTTGTGAAAATGTGTTACAATTAGAGAAGGGGGGTTGGGTGCAAAATCGTCTGAAGAGTGAGTCTTCGTTAATGGGTGACCACTTTATGATTGTATATTGACGTCACCATCATTTTGGGCGGTGGCTTTATGTGACGATATGTAACGAGAAAAAAGAGGGTTGAGTTAATGGCGTAGGATTTATTTTGCATTTTTTAAGGATACAAATAATAAAAACACTGCTTATTTTGTTTTACATGTGTGACGACATTGTGTTAACCAAATGTATTGAATAGTAGGACTTACAGATTATTAGTTCTCTCCCCCCCTGAAGCAATTACCCCTTGTCATTTACCCCCCGCCAAGGAGGACATCTCCCCCCCCCCCCCCCACGCACACACCTCTTAAGGTACAGCTGGGGTTAGGGTTATGGTTAGGGTTACGACTAGGGTTAGGGTTTGGGTTAGCGTTAGGGCTAGGGTTAGAGTTAGGGTTAGCGTTCTGGCTAAGGTTAAGATTATGGTTAGGGTTACGGCTAGGGTTAGGGTTAGCGTTAGGGCTAGGGTTAGAGTTAGGGCTAGAGTTAGAGTTTGGGCTAGGGCTAGCGTTCGTGCTAAGGTTAGGGTTAGCGTTAGAGTTAGGGCTAGGGTTAGGGCTAGAGTTAGGGTTAGCGTTCGGGCTAAGGTTAGGGTTAGCGTTAGGGCTAAGGTTAGGGCTAGGGTTAGATTCAGAATTAGAGTTAGTGTTATGATCAGGGTTAGGATTAAGGCTAGGATTAGGGTTAGTGTTATGGTCAAGGTTAGGCTGAAACCTAAGTCTAGAGTTGGTTTTGGTTATGTGTTAAGTTTTAGGCTGAGGTGAATGCTTAGGGTTTGGTCATTTTTTTATCGATTAGGATTAAGGAAATACATAGGTATAGAGTTTGAGTTAGGATCATAACTTGAGGCTGGGGGGGGGGGGATTCTCCAGGTGGGTTATTGACAAGGGGTAATTGCCCCGGGGGGTAAATACGGTGGGGGGTCTCCTCCGGGGGGGGGGGATAATTGATGGGGTGGGGGTAATGTCATGTAGCCAGGTCCACTATTAGAAAGCCAAGATTCCAAACTTTGTAGCCTTATGTATGTAGGTAATCTAATCTCATACAAGTTCTTGAAAGCAACATCAAAGACGAGAAATAAGAAGAGCCATCGTTGTCGGCTTATTTAACAGGGAAGTCTTAGTCTAAATCAATCCACGACAATGTCTTTAAGACAATAAACCTTAACTTTGCTTGAAATAACAATATCGTTCTTCATTCAGTCAAACTCAACATTATGGCTTCACTGAACTTTGTCATTGAAATGCATGTGACATGTGTAGTTTGAAATGTGTGTCTGTTAAAATTGTACAGTTGATACCGAATATATCCAGCCTTTTTCTTCTTCGTTCAGCTGCTTTTCTTTCTGGATTTCTTTTCTTATCTTTTGTCAATCCAAGAACAAGTGTTGTATCCCCAAGATAGGTTGCTATGCCCAACTATAGAGCCTCATCTACACGGGAGATTGAACTCAGGACTTCTCGGTTTAGCAACCACGAACTTTACAAGTTCTTGATTTTGGTATTGGCGTGTCAGTTTTCTTCTTTATTTAGTCGACATCTAAAGTTAAACAAAAACAGTTGCCTACCTCAGCAAAAATCAATGTAGGCCAATTATGGCCAGTGTAGCAATTAGCAACATCAAAGTTGATTTGAATTCCATGCAACACTCATTCCATACTTCTCTAGTGTGGAGGTCTTGCTTATTAATATTATCCTGTTTGTTTGATACTTTTCTTTAACTTAATAATATTAACCATAGGCACTTTTTGCCTGGAGTACAAACTGGGTCACAGTATTCTCTGGTAAACAATTAAGTTCTTTTCCAAATATATGCTCAGCTAATAGAAATAGCATTCCTAGATTATTTTTTTTTTTATTTTAAAGGGCTTCAGCTGTTTTAATGTCAACTTGTGCTGGGAATACTATAACTACATACAACCCTTTTCAGCTTTCAATCACTTGCATCTTATGTACAAAGTAAGAAAACCAAATACATCAAATTTTGAGAAATAATTTATTTATGAAACCTGACAATTGCATATAATTATAAAGCCAAACATTAATATATCACGATTATTGCAATTATCACCATTTGCAGATTCTTGTTTAACTATGGTAGATGGAAGTATTAGTTGCCTTTTACATCACTTTTCACTTCCTGAAACAAAACAAAATGATTTTCTTAATCATCCATCTGAAATAATAAAATTAGCAAAAAAAAAAATAATCTTTAGTTTAAATTAGTTTAATACATCAAAACAAAACAAGAAAAAAGTGATTGAATGAGATGAATCATGGCATAGATATCTATAAAATTTTGCTTTAGTGATAAAGGGGGAAAAATTGAAGTTATTTTAAGTGAAACATAAGCTAGAGAAATAAACTATTAGGCCTAATTTAAATAATTTAATTCCTTTCTCCCAAAACACTACATGTATCCTTAAAAAAAGAAAACTTAAAATTTATCAATATTTACCTTGTGTAAAAATTCTTATGTACATCTACTGTATCAGCTTGACGCTCATTAGGTATGCCTAGTTCCTGTTGAGCAGTTAAGACAGATTAAGTAAATAATTCAAATTTGTAAGACAAACCACTAAATGATACTGTTTTATATATATATATATATATATATATATATATATATATATATATATATATATATATATATATATATATATATATATATCCTTCCTGCAAATCAGCATATTTTGCAAAACAAATATTTAAAAAAAATACATAATGATATTGTATCAATCATCACCACTGACTTGGTTTTACTAGGTAAAATATTTTTTAAATACAATATTTATACAAATAAAAATCTATCTCAATCAACATGTTCAAAATAAACCAAAGCAAACTTGTGATAACTTACCTGATTAATGTTTGAGAGGATTCAACCAGTTCTCGCCACTGAAGCAGATTAGATGCATGTGTTATAACACTTGTGATATACTGATTGCCATTTTGTGCACTTTAAGTCCTGGAGATCTATGTTGTAGGCATAGACTGTTAAACCTGGATAGTAATATTATAGAAGTAAATTATATCTAGTATAATATAAATATTTTAAAATATAAATGACACTAAATTATATTTATCATTATTGGAAATAAAAATGGTACAATTAAGTTATAAAAAAAACAAATTATAAAATTTAAAGCAGCTTATTAATAATTGTCATACCTTTTCCTACTTTTATGTCAAATGTAAGAGGTAATAGAGAAAGAACATCTTGTGTCATTTAGTATGCTGTAGTCTTATTACTGGTAAAAATCAGATCTTCCCTTTTTTCTGGATGAACCTGTAAAAGAAAAAGAGAAATTACAACATGGATAAACACAATGAATATCATATCTAATCCTCAACTAGTTATCACCCCAATCCTAACCTCATTTTTTAAAACCAATTTCTAAATATGTTTTCAGAACAAATTTATGTTAAGTCTACCTATTTTAATGTTCAGAATACTAATATTTATCAAAACTACCTCCAGTTGAAATTCAAGATACATTTATAAAAAGTTATTATGACTTTAACTTTGTGTAGTTGTTATTTAGGCTATTTGTTTAATTTATATTATTTAAATTAATATTTCATGCCTTGTTTTAAAAAGATCTACAAGTCTACTTTTGATTTTATGGTATAATCTGATAAAAATTAGGCTGCTACATCTGAAAACTAAGGTCAATGCAAAGACTTCCAAATTAACGATAAGTAGGCTTGTATAGATATTGTATATAATTACTAGCCCAATAGTATTACTCTACGACCAATGTATAGGACTTAATGTATCAGACCTAATTCCTATAATTAGGCCTACTAATCATTAAATAATTAATAGATCTAACAGTAGGATAATTACAATTATGGGCCTTAGCTGACATAGAGAGCTGAATACTTAACTAAACATTTTTAAAAATTATAGTAAGCTAAGTGAGTTGAATTATTTTATTTAGATAGGCCTAGGCTATAATATACTCTATAGCAGTCTATAGCGATAGTCGCAGAGTAGCGTATATCATAAAAATTTCAAATTAAATCTATAAGCAACATTAAGCCTCTGCCTTGTTGCCTAATTAAAAACTAAAGCCTATTAAGCCTTTTCCTAATAAGCCTTTGGCCTAATTTAAATAACAGCCTATATAATAATATATAAATAGGCTAAACTACTTGTAAGACCTAATAGACTAATGACTAAGAGAGTGCTAGGCCCCTTTCCGATATTATATAATAAATGCTTGATCGATATCATAATATCTAACACTGATTACATTAATTTACATAAGGCTATACCATCTTAACTATGGCTAATACTTTTTCTACTAATAAAATAGGCTATCTCTAGTTTAAACTTAGGCCTAATAGTAATTAGTAATTATAATTAAGTAGGCCATTTTATGACATTTATAAAATTTTTAGTAGATGGCCGAGCCTTAAATTTAAATACTAAAATAGATTTAGCATACTATGCCTATTGTTGGTCTAATTAATAATTTATTTTTCATTTAGAATTTTAGATCTCCAAAAGATAGGCCTAGGTCCTAAATAAATTATTTTTATTTTATTGAGCCCGCCTTAATGTATAAGATGTGATGTTTTTTTAATAAAAATAACCCTACACAATACTAGTGATTTAACTAATATCTAGTACTACTTTAGGCCTATTTAATTATTTATTAGTAGGCTGAATAAAATCTAAAGCTATACTTTATTACTATATTTGCCTATTAATCTATAATTAATTTATGTTTTCTTTCAATACATTCATAGTAGATCCTGTGGTACCTCAACATTCTAGTGCCTCGACATACCAGATTTTTTAAATACGAGCAGTTGAGCGAGTAATATTTCGCTTTGAGTTACGCGCAAAATTTGAGATACCGTATTTCACAGTTCATGTAAAAGAAATACCCCCAAAAAGATGCAAATGATTATTTATCGCAGCTATTTAATTATAATAATAAGCGTCTTATTCATATTTGCAGCATTATGAAAGGGAGAAAGAAATAAACTTCCTAAACAAGTTTTATTTTAAGCTACCAGCACATGAAAGTGACTTAAATTAAGCATGGCAAAAAAGAAGAGAAAAGCTGTCACAAAAATTAAGCTAACGTAATAATTTTATTTAGTATTTAGGCCTTACGTTTAAGTCTTAAGTGCTACAATGCTCAGTGAATTTTAGCCATTAATCATTTAATGGCATTAAGTTTAGGAATGATGTGTACTTGTGTAGCTTTAGTATATTTTTAGACCTAAGCCTAAGCTTGTAGATATAGATCTACAAACAATTTGAAATAGAAGAGATTTAAAATTGAGTAGATCCTAAAGGACAGCTATGCCACAGAAATAATTATTAATTATCTTTCTATCTAGTCAATCTAGGAATCTAGACTAGTGCTACTAGAACTAGATCTACTACTGAAAAATTACTAGATTTTCTAGATCTAGATTCTATCATTTACTTTCGACGCACTAGGCATACTTTTAACTTTTTCTCTCTAGTCAATAATGTAGATTTCTAGATCTAAATATAAATCCTGATCTTGTAGATTTGATTTACGTAGGTTTTACATCAGTGTAAATCGTTGATCAAGTAGATCTAGTCTAGATCTGGACTAGGTCTCGTCAAAACAAAATGGCTGGAATATTAGCTTCAAAACACCTACAGTTTATGCTTTCCTAATTGTGGAGAGCATGTTTAATTATTGTTTTATTTTCAACGACAGTGTTGACTGAGAAACCACCAAAGGGTTTTATTCTCAGCGACACAGTCGGAGAGAGGCTCAACGATTCTGTCGTTGAGATGATCCGCATGGGGTGAATTAGAAATATTGTCATGCGCTGTTTCATTACGAACATACTTGCCACATTGGACAGCTGTTATAAATATAATGACATTGTTTTGACAACAAAGGGCAAAACGTTTATAGTGTTAACATTCTCTGAGCTATTTAAACGCAGACCTATAATTTTGTTTACATTTTGTGAACTAATTTAACGCAGACCTGTGTTTAACTTTTTCTGAACTAATTTAACGCAGAGCTTATTGTGTTTACATTTTCTGAACTATTTTAACGCAGAGCTTATATCGTTTACCTGCGGGCTATGCGAGTTCAGAATGAGATTCAAATCTATTAAAGTTGTCCAACCTGTCAAAATAAATAGCTGTATAAATGATGACTAATACGACGTGTCTATACTATAGGCATATTTACTGTAAAAAAAAGTACAAAAAAAATACTCTTTCGAACCTTACGGCTTTTGGGGCAGATGAAGTGGAATTCGCCTGCTTCATTTACGTCGGCATTTGAAGGGATAGCAGCATGATCATTAATGTTAGGTTCGAAAAGGAAACTTCACGTCAAAATCAGTGGTACTTCGCCTGTCTCTGTTACTTCGGCATATGAAAGGATAGAGTAATCAGCACTATAGGGCTGGTAAGTAGGTCACCACCAGTTATGCGGCTCAATAAAACCTGCATGAGCCATAGAACTAGTTGGTGACCTACTTACCAGCCCTATAGCTAGCCGCCTTTACTTTCCCCAATGTGGGTCCGGTACCCATCAGTGCTGCGTGTACATACTGACTTTCATTTAACCGTCGGGCGCTCTAGCAGAGGCGTAGCGACGGGGGACAGGGGAGTACAGATGTCCCCTAGGGGCGCCAAAATGGGTAGGGAAAAAATTTAAAGCTCATTTTAGCTGCAGTTTTTAATTATAAATATAAAAAAAAATATATATTTGGGGGGGGGGGGGGGGGGGCGCCAAATTGAAAGTTGGTCCCCGTGCGCCGGGAGGGGTCGCTACGCCTCTTATGTTATTCCCGCCTGCCCAAAATAAACCAAAGACGTATACGCCAAATTATACAGTAAAATCTGTGTAATTGGATTCATCGCTCGTGTTTTTACAACCCCCACCCCCATCCCATGGCTTCCCACTGCCTACAACAAAGAATATCCCCCCCCCTCCCCCCCACAGAGACACAATCTCATTGTATCCAACCAGCTTAGCAGCAGTGACGCGTTGCTAGGTACAAAAAAAAACCTGTTATTTGGAAATGGAGGATGCCCTCTAATTATTTTCTATTCAACAAACTAAGTTATCTTTGTCCAGTGACGTCATACCACGTCAACGCCCTCCCCTCAATTGTATTGAATTCAACGGGTTGATTTTAACAACGACTTCAACTGGTTAATTTTAACAACGAGTTCATCTGTAGACGTGTAGTACATCTTACCCTACTTCCCATGGTTTAACACACGTCAATGTACTTTTAATGTCATCAACGTATTTTCTTTATCATCGTGTCAACGTGCTCTAGTTCAGCCATTTGTTCACTATCAACTTGTACAGTCTAAATTTTAAATCACACGGGCGTCGATGTGTGAGATAAAGACATGATACCAGGTCTTCTTGTAGTGTTTATTACGGCATCGGTCTTTGTCTGGTTCTTGATCGTAAGGTGACTGGACATAGACTGACACATGGACATTAGACTGACTGGACATTAGACTGACTGGACATTAGAAGGTTACATTCACATATGACTGACACCTTAACATTTGACTTATACCTTAACATTAGACTGACACATGGACATAAGAAGGTTACATTGACATGTGGATGACACCTTAACATCTGACTGACACCTTGACTGACACCCGGACCTTAGATTGGCATCCGGGGCAGTATCTGATTACTTTACGCAGCAGTTAAGGAAAAAAGGCTAAAGCATCTTTCCCTCTAATGTTTTTGTAAATATTATATTTCCTTTATCAACTTTGCACCCCTCCCATTTGTATATAGTTATTCAAGTTGGTACCTCCCCCCTTTCCACGTTGGAAAGGTAGGTGGCGCTTTTTACCAGTAACTATTCTATAACAGCCTAATGCGTTTCTTAAGTCAGGTTGCAATCTATTTTCTCGACTTTGTTTATAACCCTACCCAGGATAAGCTTTTTTTATTTATCTATCTGACCTTCCCACTCACCCTCCCCGAACTTTCAAATATAACTTGCTCAAGTACTTAAGTTGTGTCAGTGTTAAAATATATTTTTTACCTCTACACACCCCTTACAAAAATATTACTTTAAAAAATATGAATAACGCAGTAGCGTAGCGAGGGGGGTGGGGGACGACATATGTCCCCGGGCACCGACCGTAGGGGGCGCCAAAATGGGTTGGAAAAATAAACTGAAAGGTTGAGGGGGGTGCAAATCAAAAGTTTGGGGGGGGGGGTGTGCAAATCGAAATCTTGAGGGGGGGGGGGGTGCAAATGGAAAGTTTGAGGGGGGGGGTGCAAATCGAAAAGTTTGTCCCCGGGCGCCGGGAAGGGTCGCTACGCCTCTGGAATAATGCTAGGCCAAATGATGTTTTTTATAGAAGTAAAGAGGGTCTTCTTAAAAAAAAAAATTCTTAAAATCCAAACAATTCTTAAAAAAAAATTAGTGAAGACTTAAAATGGTTAGTAATGTGATTTATTGTTTTTTATACAGTCAAATATACAGTCAAAGGTATTTAAAACAATACTGTACAAGTCTAATGTTCTATGTAGGCCTTATGTGAACACCAGGTTTGCGAGCATTACGCCTACAGGAAGATCTAGTTTTAAAAAAAAAATCTCGAAAATATTTTTAAAAAAAACTTTCACTGAAATCTGTACACATTGCTGACATTGTTATAGGCAGAATTATTGTGAGGTGTGTTGAAGACAGCAGACGGTAAACGGTTATCTGCCCTTCTAGAGTATTAGTGTTTATTTACAAAACAAAAATACGACTTAAAATGGGTAATTAAAGGAAAACGGATTTTATAATAGCATAAACAAAGATAACAAAATTATAAATCGTAACTTCTAATATAGATTTATTTTTCCTTTATGTATAATCTACACAAAAATGTAGGCAAATTCTTCTAACATCCGCTTTATGACTTTTTCGTCAGTAATTATTTTTAATTTTAAAATTGTACAACAGAATGAATCAGTGTTAAAGCTTAACATTCATTTCCCATCAATTTTAAGTTTTATTTATTTACCACACGTTACCCCATCATTCTTTTAAATAACATAAACCAAAACGTTTTTTTCAACATTAATTCATAAACAAATATTCAAACTGAGATACTTTAACTTTAAAGGATCAACTTCCGTTCTTTGAACGTCAACAGCAATGCTCGTTGGATTCACTGTCCCTCCGCTTCCAGCCGAAGATGAAGTACCCGGTCCCTGCTCCCAGAAACACGGCCAGACAGAGCCAGACGTTGAAGGTCATGACGATGAGCATGAGGCAGTAGGAGACGAAGATCTGGATGATGTGGAGGAACGTCTGCAGGAAGTGACCCCAGTCACAGAATCGGCGTCTGGGGATCGAAATCATACTGGGCGTAACAACGGTTTTATCAGAGGCGTAGCGAGGGGAAGGGGCGGACCGCACCGGGTGACACCACTTAGGGGGGGGGGGGGGGTGACACCAATGCAAAAAATAGTAAAATATATAGAGAAAAATTTGAGGGGGGTGCAAATCGAAAGTTTGAGGATGGGGGGGGGTGCAAATCGAAATTTCGAGGGGGGGGGGGGTGTAATTCGAAAATTGAAAGTTTGTCCCCGGGAAGAGTCGCTACGCCCTTGGAGGTGGGGGGGGGGGGGGGGTGATACCATTAAGTGCCGCACCGGGTGACACCCGACCTCACTACGCCACTGGGTTTTATACAAGTATCAAAATGTGAGGCATTACTTTATCAAAATTTTTTTTTTTTTTTTTTTTTTTACAAATTTCACTGTCGTCTGCAAATCAAACGTATATTAACCAGCGATATGAATATAATAATAAAAAGTTGTTTTTTTCTACAGCAAATGCATTTTGGATCTTTTTGTAGAGATTTATTTTACCAATTTTTTTTTTTTTTTTTTGTGAGAAGGCACCACTACCAAAGTACCAAAACCATCATAGTTAGCCAAATTTTTAATTAAATCTGGATATTTTTAACAAAAAAAAAAAAAAAAAAAAAAACAGCGTCAGATTGGGCAATAGAAAGGAGTAGGTGAACTGAATAATACTGAGTTAGGTACCCATCAGAGCTGGGTGGGCTCAGATACGTGGTGCTGATAAGAATATGGATTCGAACTCGAATCATTCAGGTTAGCAGTCCAACGCTTTACCGCTAGGCCATGCCTATGGCGTGGAGTGGTTGCACCAAATGTAGTTATAAAACTGCAAGTCGTTTATCCAGATGAATAAATAAATGAAGTAAACTGACCCCAGAACTCGAGGTATGACGGGTGACAGCGTGAGAAAAAAATGAAAAAACTTTGAATACTTATCGTAACCAAATCTTACAGATGTCGTAGTATGAAATTTATACATGTAAGGAATAGGTCTACTGTCGTCGGCACAAAAGATAAGTACTCCATTGATAAAAATAATATAATTATTTTTGTATCCAACTCAACAAAAATTTGAAAAAGTCCGTGAACATAAAATGTTACATTTTTACTGGTTTTTTTAATGTGAATCATATTTTAAAATCAAAACTTTTCTTTCATGTATGCAGACTGGTTTTGGGAGGGTGTGGTCGAATAGCAGAGCGCTCAACAGCTAAACTGAAAGTCTAGAGTTCAGATCTCGGACTCAAGTCTGTAGGACGTACCCGATGGGTACCTGATTCACGATAGGTAAAGGCGGCTGGGCATAAGCCGTGGACAAGAGACAGGTGAACTCTACTTCATCTACCCTATGGTTCATCTCGCCCAAAAAGGCGATAATTCATGCATGCTGGTTGTAAAAATATTTTTAACCGCTGTTGTCTGTAATTATCCTAACAAGTAGAGGCGTAACAAGGGGGGGGGGTACATATGTCCACGGGCGCCGACCCTGGGGGCGCCAAAATGGGTTGGAAAAAAAAATTAAAAGCTCATTTTAGCTGCAGTTTTGCATTATAAATATTTAAAAAAATTGAAAGTTTGTCCCCGGGCGCCGGGAAGGGTTGCTACGCCTCTGCTAACAAGGTCATTATAAAATAGCTACCTAGAAGACAAGGAGCTTTTTGACGAGCCTGACTTTTCATCGTTGGACTTGGAAGGATCATCGAAACTTTGGTTGATGATGCCCTTTCTGCTGGCAAAGTTTTTGTCCCTGTTTTGGTAGAGCAGCTCGCGCACAAACTTGATCCCCTCGTAAAAAATGGCGATGGCCCAAACAATAAAGCACGCGCCGATCATCGCTGGGACATTTAAAAAACAAAAATTTGGTAAAAGCCAGGGAACAAAGTGTCTTTTACTGGAGAGTTAACTAAAGTTGATATTTTAATACATGTAAAACAATGCGCATTTTCAAACGTAGGACATAAATCAAATCTATAATATTAGAATTCAAGGGGTTGTCCATAAATGACGTCATAAGAAGGGGTTTCGGATTTTACAGACGATGTGTCGCATGGGAAAGGGGGGGGGGTATGAAAGTGTGACGACAACCTTTTGAGTTTTAGAATTGTATGTTTGAAACTGACTTTAAGCCGTTATTTCGCTTTTTTTAATAAGCTGTTGTTTTGTTAATTGTAAGATAGATTTTTACACCCAATATTGACCGAGCTCAGTGAATATTTTAGAAAGAAATTTTTAAAAACTGAAATTTCAATTTTGAATGGAGTTGGTAATTATAACGTTATTTTAGGGTTGGGTTCTGTCGTTTTGTGATGATGTGTGACAATGAGGTGTGGGGTAAAAATTGACAAAAACGACACTTTTGGATGCTCCCCCCCTCCCCCAATCACGTTTTATAATAATAATTTGGAGGGGTTGTTTTTAAATACTAGAACCGTGGGCTAGACAAAGACATACAGAGTCACAATTTTTCGATACGTCAACTTCTTTGATTATTACAATTACTCTTGGCAAAATGATAACTAATAAATCTTGGGGATGTGGGGGGGGGGGGGGGGTCCCTCCTTCAATCAATGAACGTCGGTTTTTTTTATTCATATAAAAATGTGGCCCAGTCATCCAGTCTTCTATGGTTTTCAATGGGAAGGGGGTCGAGTCAATCATTGTTTGATGTGGAAGGGGGGTTGATTGCGAGTAATAATTATATTCTAGTAGTGTATATTGATGCGAAATATAACTTAATAACGAACAAGGTTTTATTTCAATTGAAAACAAAAGGAGAATGTAAATTTCTTTTCTTAAACAGTAAAAATCAGAGCCAGGAATATATTTTACAGCAATACATTTTATGACTTAATATAACAGAAAAAAAGTCATATTATACAGCAATAAATGACTAAATAAAACAAACAATAAAAACAGAAGTAGATACGCACCTCCTACTGACAAAGTTCTGGTCTGGAAAAACAGGACGTACTCCTGATAGCCGAGATGGTAGTACGACTTCATCATCTGAAATACACGGCATGAATCGTTTAAAGATCTAACACTATACACTAGCAGTACTACGGTAGTTGTTGAATGTTAATGCTAGTGGCGTAGGCAGGGGGGGGTTAGGGGGGGTCAAACCCCCCCATAGACCCCTCGGTATATATATAAAAAGTATGAGGGGGATGCAAATCGAAAGTTTGAGGGGGGGGGGGTGCAAATCGAAAGTTTGTCCCCGGGTAAAAATTGGACCCCCCCCCCTTGAGACGATCCTGGCTACGCCACTGGTTAATGCTGAATAGAATGTTAGCAGTACTACGGTAGTTGTTGAATGTTAATGCTGAATGGAACACTAGCAGTACTACAGTAGTTGTCTCGAGTTCGAATCCGGGTTCAAGTCAGTAGACCGTCCCTGAGTCCACCCAACTCTGATGGGTACCTAACTCACGTTAGGGAAAGTAAAGGCGGCTGGGCATAGCGCTGACCACACTATCTCTTCATATGCCGAGGTCACAGAAACAAGTGAACTCTACTTCACTTGCCCCATAGACCGTCAGGTTTGAAAGGGAAACTTTACTTTAAACTTTATGGTAGTTGTTGAATGTTAATGTTGAATGGAATCCTAGCAGTACTACAGTAGTTCTTGAATGTGAATGCTGAATGGAATACTAGTTACTATCAGCTACAGGTATTTCCTGAATATAAAAACCGAAAATTGAATACGATTTGCTGTGAACACTGAATTATTCCATACATATTATTATTAAAGAAGAAAAATGTTGTTGAAATTTGCCATATCCTCTAATTCTGTTGAAATTCAAAACTACAATGTTGGTTCTAAACATGTTAATTTGGTGATCAACACAGTAGACATATTTAAACAGACTTTAGTTTACATCCTGTTGACACCCCGACTAATATTCCATGGTAGGGCCTACGTGTAATCTCCTCAACCTGAAGTCGTTCCAGACTAATTTAGTTTGTCCGTGGGTTGTAACCCCCCCCCCCTGTTACACCCTTCCCTCCCCCCCTCCCTTCCTCACTGCCGTGTGTCCCAATTGTCCTACTTCTACACAGTGGTAGGGGCCGAGGATGAATCTGTCTTTAATTTTCCAAACATATTTAATATTTTCCTAAATTATGCTAATGATTCATAATTTAATTTTGTACAATTAAATTTCCATGATTAAAGCGACTAGATATCTATCTCGTTTGTTTATTTATAAGAGGTCTTTAACAAAATCACACACAATTCGTGATTATTTTACTTAGACTGTACACGCTATTCCTTTAAGTCGGCCTGTTAAGAATAATCCCTATAATATGCTAGTGAGTATTTACGTTTAATAACGTTTTTAATATAAAAATCGGTCTGTAAAGATTAACCCTTGATTAGCTAGTGGGGGTCTATCTGATTACTATGGCTTCATTTAATTAATGTGTATATAATAGAGAGGGAGATGGAGAAAGATAAATACGCACACTACCCATTCATACACAAAAACACATATACTCACACACTAACACAAACACATACCAATACAAACACTAACATAAATGTATACACATACATACACTAACATAAACACATAGATGCACACACTAACACAAACACATTAAAAAACACACCCTAACACTAACACAAACACACTAACACAAACACACTAACACTCACATAAAGTCAGAGAGAAAAAAAGTGTATCCACTTACGTCATTCATATATCCCATATCCATCCCAGCCATATTATCCATGTTATCCGTGCTCGCTGTTGTCGCCGCCCCAGACCCCATATTCATCCCAGGCATATCCATCATATTCATATCCATTTTTGTCCGTTTCAATCCAAAAATGTCTGCTGTGGACACAAAATGCAAGTCATTTTAAATGTTTAAAAATCTGATCCGTAAACAGATACATGCTTTTATTCTTTGAAAAACACAGGTACCGGATATATATTTTAATTTTAAGTCTAATTTTGTTTACGGATTATTCTCATGCAGGGGCGTAGCAAGGGGGGGGGGGGCGGGGGGTGCGGACCGCACCGGGTGACACCATTTAGGGGGTGACACCAAGGCAAAAAATAGCAAAATATATAGAGAAAAACTTGAGGGGGGTGTGCAAATCGAAAGTTTGAGGGGGGGGGTGCAAATCGAAAACTTGAAAGTTTGTCCCCGGGAAGGGTCGCAACGCCTCTGTGGGGGTGACACCATTAAGTGCCGCACCGGGTGACACCCGACCTCGCTACGCCACTGTTCTCATGTTTAAGGATATGATTAAGTTTAGAATTAAAGGAGGGGTTGCTTCCATATTCCAGATTATACGAGTGGAGTTTATGATTTCATGTATTAAGGATGAGCATTATATTTCAGTATGTATTCGTACCTATTCGTAAAGCTAGGATCAAAGCAATATTACACCACTGCAGTGTGAAGTGATAGATGAAGCTCGTGATTTCTATCACAAATGTAAAATCTGTAGAACAATATGGTTCAGTAACTCTCACATCAGTTAAATGTTACACTGGGATATATTCCTGAAGTCTTTACGAATCTTTTAATTAATAATACATTAATAAAGATATTAAGAGAAATAATAAATTTACATTTTCATGAAGTAGAAAAATATTTGGTATTACAAATATATTGGAAAATATGAGATATTAGTAAATATTAGAAATACATTAGCAGATAATAAAAATACAAAAAGGTCTTAGAAACGTGGATACAAGTGAGACAGGCTTTTGACATATGCAGAGAAAGTCGAAAAATTGAAAATGACAAAAAATTGATAAGAAGAAAACAGAAGATGCTTTTCGGAGAAGATAAATATATCTATAAATAGATCTCTTGGAGTAGTGTGGTCTCGTTCCCAGCACTTCAAGGAAGTAAAAAATGGACGAATGGGACAAGATCTGATATGTTTGAAATCAAACCTTTAGTAGACTTAATGGAATATAAATTAATACTTAACTGAGACAGGTATTCATACCTTTCGTATCTAGTAAACATGTCTACTTATACATTTGTTTCACTTAGTTAATTGTTAAAATTGGAGCCTAGAAAAAGCATTTTCAAATTGTATTTCTTAAGTTCTATTCAAATACCATGATGTACGAACTCGATCAGTGTGTATAGACCAGATCATTATGTACTTTTATTACACAGAAAAGCAAGAATAAGAAAAATAACCATATTACGTTGTAATTCTGAAATCCTCGAAGCTCAAGATAATGTTATGTTTATCTCGTAGGAATTTCTGATAAGGGAAATAATGTTTAAATATTTCTTAGTGAGGTTTTCTTTATGGTACTTATATATATATATATATATATATATATATATATATATATATATATATATATATATATATATATATATATATATATATATATATATATATATATATATATATATATATATATTTATATATATATATAATATGAAATATGAATCGAGATGCTAAAAAGAATTGCCTGTTTAAAAATACTTCTTAAACCCGATACAAAGAAAGATGGGTTCAAGGAGACCATTTATCCTGCCTATACTTTCTGTGTAACCCAAGCCACGGTACCGTGGCTGTATAAAGTAGTGACTATCCTGAGAACTCTCAAATGGCACACGTCAGTAAAGCTTCCAACAAGAGCGTCACATATTAAAAAGGAGTCACACATTATAGAGTTGTTACATATAAGATAGGCGTCACACAACAGTGGAGTCAGTTACAAGACGGGCGTCACACAACAGTGGAGTCAGGTACAAGAAAGATGTCACTTATAAGAAAGAAGTCAAACACAAAAGAAACTACTTACAGCTGGTAAAAAAAAAATCCTCTTATCGAGATAAACTAGTCCAATATTTACAGAGTTCACAAAAAATAAAGTAACCACCACAGCTTAAAGTAAGCCCGCTCAGCAAAATCAAGCGAGCTGTCTTAACTATGATGTCATACCTGTGGCAGGGTCCGAGACGATCCTCTCTGTCACTGCCTGTGACAGGCCTGCAGGTAGTGATAGACTCAGCTGAACGCCGTCAAGCTTGGATTAACCCAGGCTGGTCGTAGGCCCGTGACAAAATAAAATACCACACGTCTAGCGCCGCACTTGTGGTTTATGTGTCGGTAGTTCTGTGCAGGGGCGTAACCTGCGGAAGTGATACAAGAACGAGTCATGAGTTATATGTTTATATATATATATATATATATATATATATATATATATATATATATATATATATATATATATATATATATATATATATTCTTATAGACACACCGGGATTTTTAGCAAGGTCCAATTGTTAGCGGGTATTGAGTAAATAATTAAATGTTAATGCCATTTAAATATGTTGGTGTTTTGTAAACAGTGCTAGATGCGCTAAGTGTAAGTCTTAACGCATGCCTCAAACTCTTATTTTCTGTAGTCTTATATTTCGCATTTGTGTAAGTCTGCCTCAAAATCTATTCTCTGTTGTCTTATATTGTGTATAATGGTTTTATTAGATTTTAGATGAACGAAAAGCCTGCCTCAACATATACTCTCATATGTTGATCATACCTATATGTTAGATGAACGAAAGGTCCATCAGTTACTAACATGTATGCGAACCTCCTTGTATGTTTTTTTTTTTATTAAAGCATTCCACCCCATTGCTTTTTATGTCGACGTAATTTTTTCTGCATTAACTCTATTGTTGTTTTAAAAAAATTAAAAGCGGCATATCAACAACCTCAGATAAGTTGACGTACTACAAGCAGTGTTGGAGATCACTGCACCTTTGCCTTTAAGTCTGCCACAGATCCAGTAGAGAAAACATCACGTGACACCACAGGTGATTGACTTCAAACCTGGTCCTACATTTTTTCAGGTGTTTTTTTATTATTTTTTTATTTTTTTGTACTGCTAAATATCCCTTACGCGGCAAACGAGCCTAGTTTTGAAACATGTTTTTTTTTAAATGGTTGAATAAGAACTTACAATTCAGTTGCTGTTTGCTTTTACACCGAACTAATGAACACATTACTTTGTCCTTAGTGTGTAACTAGCCACCATATGTGCAGACTTTACACAATGAAACTAAACTCCTTCATCGCACAGTTTAAATAATGTTACAATATGTTTCCGTTTTTACCATTAGTAGAACAGAGAAAATCAAATTTGATTTTTTTTAACAATACATTTAAAACATAAAAAACAAAAATTATTTTTCTATTTAATGTATACTCTCTATACATGTCGGATGATTCATACCAATCTTGAAATAGTAATAATCTAAATTAATATGGCAACCCTAATAATATACAGACAAGTTGATAATATTATCACGGCTGAGTAATTACATTCAAACGTTTTAAATAGAAAAAAAATAATTTATTCGTTTAAATAAAGAGCAATTATCATGTAACGTTATAACAGACGAGCGGAAATAATGAAATATGACATGTTTTACTGTAATTCTTATTAAATAAATATTCACAGTGAATGTTATCATTATTTACAACATATAGGCAACAGTTTTTTTAAACGTAAGCAGGCGAGGCTTGTTGTGATAGGGAGACAGGAATGTCTAGTTCGTGAATTGGTGGTCAGCAATAATCGTTGTTGGATGGTCAGCAAAAATCTTCGATGGGTGGTCAGCAATATTCGTTGTTGGATGGTTAGCAATATTCTTCGATGGGTGGTCAGCAATATTCTTCGATGGGTGGTCAGCAATAATCTTCGATGGGTGGTCAGCAATAATCTTTGATGGGTGGTCAGAAATAATCATCGATGGGTGGTCAACCATAATCTTCGATGGGTGGTCAACAATAATCTTCGATGGGTGGTCAGCAATAATCTTCGATGGGTGGTCAGCAATAATCTTCGATGGGTGGTCAGCAATAATCGTCGATGGGTGGTCAGCAATAATCTTCGATGGGTGGTCAGCAATAATCTTCGATGGGTGGTCAGCAATAATCTTCGATGGGTGGTCAGCAATAATCTTCGATGGGTAGTCAGCAACAATGGTCCATGAATGTTCAGTAACAATCGTCGATAGATGGTCAAGAACAATCTAATGTTTGTCAAAAACAATCGATGGATGACCAGGAGCAATAATCGTAGGATAGTCAGAAACAATCGTCGATGAATGTTCAGCAACAACCTGACTGGCGATTCAACAACAATCGTGGATGGATAGTCAGCAAAAATCTAACTGGTGTGTCAGCAACAATCACCAGAGTCGTTGTTTCTTCGTTTCCAGCCAAACAGGAAGTACCCTGTACCGGCTCCCAGAAACACGGCCAGACAGAGCCAGACGTTGAAGGTCATGACGATGAGCATGAGGCAGTAGGAGACGAAGATCTGGATGATGTGGAGGAACGTCTGCAGGAAGTGACCCCAGTCACAGATTTGACGTCTGGAGAAAGATGGGGGAAGATTTAACATTGGCGAAACTAGGGGGTGGTTGCTGGGGTTAGCACCCCCCCCCCCCCTACTTAACAATTGGAATTCAATTGGTGATAATTATTTAATAATAATTGAATCTTTTGTATCTTTAAGGAGTTATTTATAAATGACGTCACAGTCTTATGGGGGGTGGATGGTGAAGGACTTTTGTGACGATGCATGACAATGAGGTAAAAATATTGGGGTGGGGGGGGGGGGGGCGTCAAGAAAGTGTAACAAGACACTTTTGCCTTTTAAAAAGTTTTAAAACTGCGTTTAGCAGTTCACATTTTTAAAACCACTATAAGAAATTAAAGCTCAGTTTCGCATTTCTCACTAACGGTAGATACGTTAATAAGGGGGGGGGGGGGGAGGGGGGCTAACCGGTATGGCGTTCAATGCGTCTGTAAGAGCAGACACAGACTAGTAAAATTTTCATGCATGACAAATAGTAGTACAAAATGTTGTAATAACACTACATTTTAAAACTAATTTACTTTAGTAAAAAAAACTAATCAAACGTTGCGGGAAAACTTGGTTAAAATTGAATGTAATATAGTTTTGAGAGTCTAGATATCGAGTACACTGAACCAGCTACCTTGTCGTCATGTGAAGTTTTTGCGAGCCTGAAGTTTCACGGCTACTCTCTGAAGGAAAAGGGTTCTCAAAACTGTGGTTGATGATGCCCTTCCGGCTGGAGAACTTCTTGTCTCTGCTGGCGGAGAGCTCTTCACGTAGAAACTTGAGACCCTCGTACAGAACACCCAGGGCCCAGATGGCGAAACATGCGCCAACCATGGCTGAAACAGAGGTGGAACTGCGCAGGTGACGCTGACAGTGACTACTTTGGTGGGTGTATATTTTGGGTTCAGTTTTTAAGGGGCGGAGTAGGCGTTGGGGCAAGAAGAAAAAGCGATAAAATGGGACCTGAAAGAATACACCAGATAGATAAGTTAAACATCAAATCTAACTAGGAAGACAAGGTCAAAACCCAGCTTAGGAGACTATCTCAGAACCTAGCTGGAAAGACTCCCAGAATCTAGCTGAGTAGACTAGCTCAGAATCTAACTGAGGAGACTAGCTTAGAATCTAACTGAGGAGACTAGCTTAGAATCGAGCTGAGGAGACTAGCTCATAATCTAGCTTGGAAAATAAGCTTAGAATCTAGCTTAGTAGACTATCTCAGAACCCAGCTGGAAAGACTCCCAGAATCTAGCTGAGGAGACTAGCTCAGAACCTAGTTGAGCAGACTAGCTCAATCTAGCTGAGGAGACTGTCTCAGAATCTAGCTGAGGAGACTAACTCAGAATCTAACTGAGGAGACTAGCTCAGAATCTAGCTGAGGAGACTAGCTCAGAATCTAGCTGAGGAGACTAGCTCAGAACCTAGTTGAGGAGACTAGCTTAGAATCTAGCTGGCAACGACTAACTCAGAACCTAGTTGAGGAGATTAGCTTAGAATCTAGTTGGCAAAGACTAACTCCGAATCTAGCTAATGAGACTAGCTCAGAATCTAGATGGTAGAGACTAGCTCGGAATCTAGCTCGTAAAGACTAACTCAGAACCTAGTTGAGAACTAGAACATCTGAAACCATTGCTTGGTTTCCATTAGTTCGACAAACTCACATAACCAAGAGATCTTATAAAGTACCATATATATTCACCAACATTAACAACTACCCAGTCGACAGTAGCATAGGATTAAGTATTTTGAAGAAGAAAAAAACCAACTTATAAATACCATTTAATTGGTTTGAATTAGCCTGAGTACGTTATAAATCGACTTATAAAGTAAACAGCACACGCATTTATTATTGTTTAGTTTACCTAAAGATAACAATATATAGCTCTATGTACAGAACGTCTTTATTGGTTAATCAGGTTAAGTAATTTTTTAAAAAGTTTATTTAATATATATATATATATATATATATATATATATATATATATATATATATATATATATATATATATATATATATATATATATATATATATATATATATATATATATATATATATATATATATATAATGAAATAATGTTTAATTACCTCCTACTGATAAGGTCTTGAACTCGGAGAATAGAACATATTCCTTAAAGCCGAGATGATAGTACATTTTCATCTGGGGACAAAGTCAACATTTATGTTTTAAAAACACTTATAACACTCGTTACCAAAATTTTGTCTCTATTTACCCCCATCCCACACACTTATAGCCAACCTATATCAAAATGTGTGTGGTGGAACTTGGAACCTCACATACTGAACCTGTTAGTGAATATTCGAAAAAGTCTGATCAGATCAAATACGTTTTGATGCACTCAAAGAGAACGCCGTACAGACTCAAACTCGGGAGTGGAAAGCGAGAGTTGGCGCTCTTCTACTCGACCACACTCGTCCCCACTGATAAAAGACCTAACACAAAACTGCCTGATTTATGAAGTGTTGTCAGTATGGTCTGGTAGATGAGGCTTGTTAGCTTGGGACAGGAACTCATCTAGTAAACAACTCCTGAATCAAACAGGAGTGGAGCGCCTTAAGAGATAGTACTACCAACACTGGTTTCCTATTGGCAGATCCTGCGACTCAGATGATGCCAAGTTGTAAAGGTAATGGATAACCCTGTGTGGTGCCAACATCATACTCATCTTGCTGCCTGGCTTTACGGCTTGAGTTCTAAACCGCAGTAACCCAATCGTCTGTCAGATTCTGGAGTTGTGTATTGTACAACTGTAGCAGAGAACTTCGAAGTCCTGTATGAACTTAAATATCCCAAACTATTTGGCAACAAGTCTACAGGTAAAGTGGTTATTGCAACACAAGGACAGACAAATCTTACTTACTCCCATTTCTCCCATGTTCATCCCACTCATGCTGCCCATGCCTCCCATGCTGCCCATGCCTCCCATGCTGCCCATGCCTCCCATGCTGCCCATGGCTCCCGTGGTGCCCATGCTGCCTGTAGACTGAGCTGTTGTCATTCCAGGCATATTCATTTTATCCATTTCATCTGCCCACGCCACCAATCAGAAAAAAACGTTGTTAAGTCACGTGATCGTAATTATGAGTGTTAGTTCTGTAAAAGAATTTTTTTTTGCTTTCAATATTAAATAACAAAATCACTTGTAGAACTAAATTGTATAAGAAGGCTAAATAATCATAATCGTTAAATTTAAAAAAAAATAAAATGTTGCCTACACAATAAACGAGTTCACTCTCCAAAATAATATCTTCCAAATGAAATTTAACTTATATGATAGTTCGTGAAAAATTACATTTCATTATTCAAAGGTATTTTGTCCAAAATATTTAGTAGTCTAGAAATATATATGCAGAAATAAAACAATAAAACAAAATATAAACAAATAAATAAACAAAATTAATAAACAAAAATAAAGAATCAAATGAACTAATAAACAAAGAAACAAACAAATAAATACAAATACATAAATAAATATATCAATAAATAAATAAATAAATAATAAAATTCACTTACCTAAAATATTCGATCATTCGGTCCAAAAATAAGCTGATATAAAAAATATTAAAAGCTATCCAATAAGCAGCCTATTTTGTAGAAAACTAAAATTGCCTGTAACTTTTTTTTTTAAATTGTATAAGCAACCTCCTCATCCACACACTGAACTAATTGATGAAAGCTTAGCTTTACCACCATCCCATCAGGCTCACGTTATCCTAAACAATAGACATGACGTCATCACTGGAGACTTTTGGATCAACTGTGCAGTCAACACATTGTGAGAAGCCTAAGGTGTAATGTCTAGTTTGTCAACCCGAGCTCGTAATACAGTGACCAGGTTATCTTAGAGACAGGGAAAAAAATGATAGATGTCATGCTAAAGCGAATGTGTCCTGTCTACTTGATATCTTTAACCGTGGTGTGTTATCGGTAATTATGTTAATGAGGGCCAGGCGAAATTAGTGTCATGTTAATTAAAGTTTGTTGACGGTGAAAGAACGAGGGTTGAATCTGTGGACTGCTGTTGGTGACCTTTTTATTTATTTATAATTTACTTTAGTCTTATGTGATATATCAGATCGGTTTTATAATAACTCTGTCAGTGATGTCATGCTTGATTTGACAGTGACTTCTAGCGAGCAGTACATCAATCTGTCAGCACATGTCACTCTGTCAGTGACATCATGTTTGATTTGACAGTGACGTCAGATCAATCTGTCAGCTCAATTCACGCTGTACATAGTTTCTACCCTCCCCCATACGAACGAAATATAATTTCATGTTTGATTTGGCAGTGACATCAATCTGTCATGTCATGTCCATGTCAGTGACGTGATATTTGATTTGATAGTGACGTCCCATCAATCTGTCATGTCATGTCCATGTCAGTGACAAGCCTGGAAGAAATTACTTTTCCACCGGAACTTAATCAAAACCCTAGCTCCCCCCCCCCCTCGCGCCATCTTCACATAAGGGCTCTTACTTTGTTTTGTTACTGTTATTTCTCATTTAATTAACTTTTTATTACGCTGATTGTTTTGTGTCAATACAAGTTCGTCCATGTTTTTTTTTCAAGTGTGAGAAATTTCTACCAGCTCGATGTATAGTAACGCCCTTATTTTGGTCCATAATTGTGGTCTAATCGATAACGCATTCATAATTATAAACAACGGGTCGATTTTAGTAGTATATTCATAGTAAACACGTTTTCAATTGATGTAAACAGTCTCTTTCATGCGTCCGGGTCCCCCAGAAGAACGTCAACTGCACCACCCATTCGAACAAAATATAATTTATATAGAAAATACATACATTTACCAGTGAACGCCCCCCCCCCCCCCCAAACCTCCTCCCCCGGAAAAAATTCAGTTGGCCCCCAGAATATTGCAAGTGCCCACCCTCCCCTCTCGGAGAAAAAAGTCTGAAAGAAAAAGTCTGAAAGAAATACTGGATGTAATGTTCAGTAATCTAATCACATCGGCCAGAAATCTGGCAACACACAGAACAGCCCGAGGTAGTTGACACATACAAATAACCTACAATTAACAAAGAACACTTTGTGCTTCATGAAAAATAACAAGCCATATGAGAGCAAACAGAAGTAGAGAAACGTAATATTTAGGCTGCTTAATGTAGCTCCGGTTTAAAGCAATGCCGGATTAGTGTTTAAAATAGCGCTTTGACAGTGTAGAGAGTATCGGTGATGATGAATGACTATGAAGGAATCAGAGCCGGCGTTAGGAATACGCGGGGCCTAGGGCCAACCATCCGCGCGGGGCCTTTCCCTTATATATATATATATATATATATATATATATATATATATATATATATATATATATATATATATATATATATATATATATGTGTGTGTGTGTGTGTGTGTGTGTATAAAGGCCTATATAATGTGATGTACACATAATAACACAAATGTTTTGAAGTTTATAAGCTAATGTCAAACTTTCCACTATAATAACAGATTTTTATCTCTTCCATGTATTAACCCAATGTTCGTAGGTTTTTTTTTCCTTTGCTAAGATATTAAATCACTTTTAACAGTTATGTAATTCATACCAGATCACTTAAGAAAATTTAATCACGTGCCGAATAATTAGGAAAATAAAGTTTACAATACAGCGAACTCGGCCTGATGTATCAAAACAGTATAGACTTCAAAATTTGTTTAGAATTCATACAATATTTTAAAACCAAAATCATTATTGTCTTAATTATTGAAGGTGTGAATCCTTAAGGTGACACAACATAACAACAGTTTTAACTTTCTTCCAAAAAATAATAAAAAATCACTCTGTTTAATGCCGCCTGATATAGATCCTAAGGCCCCCCCCCCCCTTCCTCGTCGCTCTCCTCCCACCCCTCTGCACGCAACTGAATGTTAATTTTGTTATACCAAGACAAGTAGGCCTACATATAGAGTAGCCCCCCCCCCCCCCGAAAACGAAATGAAATTTATATAATTTATGGAGAAAATATAAACTTTTAACAGTGTCCGCACCCCCCCCCCCCCAAAAAAAATTTCAAGTGCCCCTCCCCCCCGGAGAAAAAAGTCTGGAAGAAACACTGTACATATACGACATTATACGACATCTACAACAAGAAAGTCAGGACTAGAGTTCATCAGGTCACTAACTGTCTACTATAGACATCCCGTCTGCTCACTAAAAGGACGTCTTCATCGATCCGCATACAATAGGGTATCTCTTTACGTCGTGGGCTAATTCTCGACCGCCATCTCCAGTCCGCTCAGGTCAAATGCCAGGCGACCGTACCCTACACAAAGGGTAGGTGTGACACTATTTTTGTATCGAATTACGGCCTGTCCCAGTTCAGGTGGACTCACCAACATCAACCGTGGCCTCAGTTATAACAATCAACAACGTCGGCATTCCACCATTTAGTTTTTCCCAATTGAATTCAGCAACCATTTTTTTTAAGTTTACGAACTAATTCAGATAACAATGACATTGCTGAAGCGCGGGGGCCCCTTCAAGCGCGGGGCCTATGGCGACCGCCCCGTTCGCCACCCCCTAACGCCGGCTCTGGAAGGAATGTTGGGTTTCTACAATTTACCTGTTATAGAATGGACAGTACATTTTACCTATTTAACTCTTATAGAATGCACGGTACAATTTACCTGTTATAGAGTGCACGGTACAATTTACCTGTTATAGAATGGATGGTACAATTTACCTGTTATAGAATGCACGGTACAATTTACCTGTTATACAATGCACGGTACAATTTACCTGTTATAGAATGCACGGTACAATTTACCTGTTATAGAATGGACGGTACAATTTACCTGTTATAGAATGGATGGTACAATTTACCTGTTATAGAATGCACGGTACAATTTACCTGTTATACAATGGACGGTACAATTTACCTGTTATAGAATACACGGTACAATTTACCTGTTATAGAATACACGGTACAATTTACCTGTTATAGAATACACGGTACAACTTACCTGTTTTAGAATACACGGCTGTTTTTGGCACAATAGCCCTATCCTTACCACTGGGGTTATGGGTGAAGGTGCTAGCTTATTAAAACAGGTCAAAGGTCATAAGGGTTACAGGTAGGTCCGGTAAACCTTAGAAACAATTGAGGTAGAGGCGTATTCAGTGTCGGGTGGGTCGGACGTGCAGGGGTCATCTGGTGTGGCCCCCCACCCACACACTCATTTTGGTGATAATGTATACTTTGTGTGTGTGTGCAGTTGTCTAAGATGTACTCCACGGAAAGAGTATATTAGCTAGAGTTAAGGACTGAAACTGCGGTGTAAAATGTAGTGTGAATATTAGGTGTTTACAACATGGGCGCCAGTGTTAGTATGTGCATTCTCCGAGTTTTTCGATCAACAAAGCTATTCTGACAAGAGGATTTGGTTAGGAGTGAGGAGGGAGTTGATACTGGGCTCGAAGGTCCTCGGTATCAGTGTTGCTTTCAGGTGTTTTTCTCCGGGGGTTGGGGGCACTTGAAATTTCCGGGGGGGGGCACTGGTAAAAGTATATATTTTCTATATCTGTGCTTATTTTGTCCTTGATATACACACATGGTGCACTAAATGTGTATCAGCAGAAAAACAAAACGGCATAACTTTTTACTGAAATATGAGTGAGGGTTGGAGAGGATTTAAATTAAGCTTCATTTCGATTAAGTAACCGAAATGTCTTTTTATTGGTTCAAAAAAAAAGGCTCCAGTTCAGTCCCCTATAACAAGGAAAGCTAACTCTTATCAACGACCTAGCAGAGTAGTCCCACTAAAAACTGTAACAATGGGATAATGTAGACTAGCAGTGCCTGTATAACCTTACCGCTATCAATGTGCTGAGTTGACATAACGCGGGTCACGTATTCGATAGGAGGTGGATGTCGTTTATTGTTTAATAAAGGGGTTGTAATGTAGGCTGTTGGTTATGTTGTATGTCGTTGTTTTATTGCTGTAGTGTAGGCTGTTGGTTATGTTGTATGTTGTTTTTTATTGTTGTAGTGTAGGCTGTTGGTAATGTTGTATGTTGTTTTTTTTTATTGTTGTAGTGTAGGCTGTTGGTAATGTTGTATGTCGTTGTTTTATTGTTGTAGTGTATGCCGTTGGTAATGTTAAATTTTGTTGTTTTATTGCTGTTGTTTATGTTGTATGTTGTTGCTTTGTTGTATCACTGTGTTGTAATGTATGCTGTTGTTTATGTTGAATGTTGTTGTTTTATTGTTGTAATGTATGATGTTGTTTATGTTGTATGTTGTTGTTTTATTGTTGTAATGTATGCTGTTGTTTAGGTTGTATGTTGTTGTTTTATTGTTGTAATGTATGCTGTTGTTTATGTTGAATGTCTATGTTTTATTGTTGTAATGTATGCTGTTGTTTATGTTGAATGTCTATGTTTTATTGTTGTAATGTATGCTGTTGTTTATGTTGAATGTCTATGTTTTATTGTTGTAATGTATGCTGTTGTTTATGTTGAAAGTCTATGTTTTATTGTTGTAATGTATGCTGTTGTTTATGTTGAAAGTCTATGTTTTATTGTTGTAATGTATGCTGTTGTTTATGTTGAATGTCGTTGTTTTGTTGTATCATATCACTATGTTGCAATGCATGCTGTTTATGTTGGATATCGTTGTACGTTTTTACATGTACAGTTTAACATTAGATTTCTTTTATAAATTATGAAAAAACTAAAAGAAAAACGTGATGTCGCGCATTGCTTTGGAAACTAGGCTACTATTTTTAGAAAAGTTACCTCGGTAACCTCCCCCTTGCCCGCCCCAAACAACGCAGTTGAAATATCCTCTAACCATCGGACTATGACAAATGTTACGAATGCCTGTATGAATGTTAGTAACATTGTTACA